AGTAAGCATCTCAGTGAGCTGTTGCTTCAGTGCATCACTTAATCCTCTGAGTGAGTCATTCAGGTCTTAGGGCACAGTGTGAGGTTCACATTACTTAAATCAAGATGTCCTGAATGAGATTTATTAGCCGGGGAACCGGAATGTTAGAGGTGCAGATGCTGGAGTGACAGTTGTTCAGTGACTGAGATTTGTTGGTTTGCTGCTCCTGCTTTCCTGAAAGCTCCTCTGACAGCTTTTTATCAGTCATCTCATGACTTTCTTGGGAGGGGAAAACCGGTAACGATCTGTCTCCCTGAGAAGAGAAGCGGGGACAGAATTTTTACCCTGATCTCATAATTTTAATTGTAGCATGTTCAAAATCTTGTAAAATATCGGGGGTGATCAAGGAAGCCACTTGAGGAGCCCATGAGGAAAGGAAAAAGAATATGTCTTTGTACGCAATCCAGCCTGAAATCAAGCAGGCTTTTGAAACCCTCCAGGCCTATGACTACTGAGAAGCAAAGAGCTCTCTCAGGATTGGGCATAAGGCATTTTGCTTCCAGTACTTCTTGTTTTCGGCTGACTTTGCTTGCCAAAGTGAAACTGGGCTTAAATTTTAGTCTGGGTTTGAATCCCTTCAGAATACAGAGGAGCTGCATTCAAGAGAGGTGGGCTGAGCTGGATCTTGCTCATCTTTGCAGCTCTTCTGTGCATATCCAAGCCACATGTGTAGCTGCTAAGATGAAGCGGAGGTGACCTGCAGGGTGAGCCTGTGGGCTTACAGGGCAATTGTTAACTGACACAGTAGCTGTGTCCCAAATGCTCCCAGCTCGGGCTTTGGTCTCTGTTCACAAAATATTCCTGGTCCTTTTGATCAAGACCCATTCACATCAGCCTAAGTAATGTGTGGATGGGCATAAACTTCGCAACATACAAAAAATGAAGCAGAGCCTGATTTGGGAGACAGGAAAAAAAGTGTTTCTTCCCGTATCAAGCAGGGACTTTCTGCTGGCATGTTTATTTAGTGTTACTCCTAAACTGGTGGATCAGATGAAAGCTGGTCAAGTGGAAGAGAGGGCTGTGCTGAAGAGAGCAGGCTCTCCTGATAATTGCAATGCTGCCAGCATTCCTACAGTCAGTTAATAGATTTCCCCAGGTCCTCTGTGCCAGGTGAAAATTTCCTAATTAAGGGGAATTTATTCCATTTCCTTTTATCATTTATTGTTGAAGAAGTGAGTGGATGGAGTTCCAAAGATGACAGGGTGGAATTTTAAACTAAAAGCAGCAGCAAATCAACACTGGAAGCTTAAAATGGAGTCATAAGCAAGGTTGGGGAAAAGCTTGTATTGTTTATAAACTGCAAAATGTGCAAGGGACTTCAGCTTTCTGAGGAAGTAAACAGCCACAATGATTATGGAAGTGTGCTAAAATCTAATCATCTGGTTTTGAGGCTCTGAAACTCCTGACTTTCATTTTGAAAGGCAAATGTTAGGGAAAAGAAGCATAATAGAAGTCTGAAATCATGGCCACTTAATCTTCCCTTGTTTCAGAATTGATTGTAAACCAGTGAGAGAGTTTAATCTTTGGAAGACTTTTTGCTCTGTGTTGGAAAAGTAAGTGTTACTCCAAGGGCAGGTAGGAAGCAGGGATGTAGGGCTGGTTCATATATTTGGGAATAGCCAGAAACGAGAATTGTTGTCTTTTCTTTTTGGCTGTGGATTTCTGGTGAGCTTGAAGGGTTATATGCACTCAAACATTCAAAAAGATCAGCCTGATTTTGCCTCTTGCTGGCTTTAGTGTTTCCAGCAAGTCTAAAGGTCTGTCCTTGAGCAAAGGCAGTGGGAATGCTGTATCTTAAAAATGGACACCCCTGGACCTCTGCTTACTATCTGCAAGATGAGCATCACACTACCATGCTGTTCGCATGTTTCTTTATATTATTTCCATGAAGGTTGAGATATAAATGCTAAAAGTTACCTTTATTAGTAAATAGAAACTATTCTGTTATAAACATGTACGTCCAATACATGCAGAGAGGCAGCGTGATTTCCATACCAGTGCTAAGGATTTACAATTCTCTGATCCAGCTCCCTTTAAAACATGATGGAGGAATTCTGCTGGCTCCTATCATGCGTTGGGAGTAGCAGAGGGGAAAAATGCATGGAAATAAATGCACAGTTCCATTTCCCTGTTAGGGACTCGGCTTTTCTCTTGCATGCTGTTTGTCCTATACAAAAACAGTTACCATTCTGCATGGATTAGTAAGTGGCCTAACCTGATTTAAGGTGCTAGCCCAAGGCAAATGAATCATGTTGTGAAATAATCACTGCTTTTATTCGCCACCCTGCTGGGGTGGGGGGTGACATTGAATGATATTGTTATAATGAGATACAAAAAATGCAGTGGAAACAAGCTGCAAATGAAGGCAATTTTCTGTATCTGTCAGTAATCAAATGACAGCCAGCTATGTGTGTTCCTGAGGCAGAAGAGAGGAAGGGGAAGGGAGTAAACACCACTGAAACAGGCTCATTTTCTTGGGGTCATCAGGTCTGCTCACTCGTACTTAGGGAATGCTGAGTCTAGGAGAGAAATCTAGTGTGGCTGTGTCCTTCATAGCTGGTGATGGCTAGCATCAATTTTGCCAGAGAACTGGTGGATTTTGCTTTGTTTGCTCCTGTAAAACACCCATCCATGCCTTCAGTTCTGGTGTTCATGGTTTATGTAAAAAGTCCTGCCTCTGAGCTGAGATCAGAAAGCAGAAAAGGCTGGAGAAGCAGAGGAATTTGTGGTGGTAGTGTTATTGCATGGGAACCACAGTCTTTAATGTACTGTAGTGCCACAAAATGGGTCTTACTTTGGGATATCCAAAACCTGGGAAGCTCAACCTGCTGGATTAGGAAGGACTGTTTCATAGAATCATAGAATGATTTTGAGTTGGAAGGTACCTTAAAGATCATCTAGTTCCAACCCCCTGCTGTGGGCAGGGACACCTTCCACTAGACCAGGATGCTCATACCCCTGTCCAACCCAGCCTTGAACACTTCCCTTCTACAACTTTTCTTCTGACTCTAACGAAGAGGAGGATTTGCTGGAGCAAGAAGGGTGATATGGTGAAGGGTTCTGGAGAAGATCCGGGGTGTAGGTGGTACTCCTGCCTGGAGTTCTCTGAGGGCAGAGCAAGCTGGTTGTGGTGCCAGGCTGGGACACAGTGTGGAAGATGGGAGTTAGAGTGAGCATTTTGGGAGACAGTGTGGAGGGTAGAAGTTACAGTGATTGTTTCCTTCCTGCAAATGCTCACTATCTTCCTGCTGTGCTATTGCTGACAGGTGGAGTGCTCTGTTATCATATTAAAGGGCTAGGAGAGGTGGCACTGGGGAATTCCTAGAGGAAACCTCACCTACCCAGGGATTTGAGCCCCAAAGTTTCCGGTCCCCAGTTCTGCTCTCAGAACAAGCTGTTTTGGCAGTTGTGTGATTTTCACCTGTTTAACACTAGCCTGACTTCACCCAGGGCAGCAGAGCTTCTCTGTGCCTAAGCCAGAGTGGAAAATACAATCCAATGACTCTCTTTCATGCTTCAGCTTCCTGACACGTTCCAATAAAGCTGTCTTACCCCTCTAGTCCCACTCAAATAAAATAATACTATTTAAAAATACTGTCAAGCAAAGGACATAATTCAAAGCCCTGATTTAGGAAAATTGCTTGTTTGTTAGTCATTTCCTTTTTCCTGATTCAGAGCTTGCTTGTTCATAAAATATTGATTTATTGGGCAGGCAAGGATGCTCTTGGCAATGAAGATGAAAAGCAGACCATGCTGATAAAAATACATAAGCTTTTTTATGTTTTTGTAAAAGCTGAACTTAGAAAAGGTAACTTAGAAACGGAGGCAGGCAGAAACTATAAGGGCTTTTGGTGGAGTCAAAACAAAGTGGAACAAAGAGTAGGAGAGAAAAGAGTGCAGAGAATAAAGAGGGAATGGAGAAGATGGAAAAAAATCAAGAGCAAAATGGATGGGGAGCTGTTGATCTGCAGAAATGGCGGGGGAAAGCAATGTGTTTGAAATTAAAAACAGAAACTAGGACTCCTGAAAAGCAAAACCAGGAGAACAAGATATGAAAATATTGAGAGACCCTGGTTACAACGATGAAATCATAAAAGGTGTCCCTGCTTTACCCGGTTTATCCCCCCTCTCTGTTTTCTTGATGCAAGAAGCAGCACAAACGATAGGGAAAAAGATATATCGAGACTGTCAGAAGGAAAAACTCACCTTGTGTGTGAGCCTCTGAAGGTAATTTTTACTATGGATCTCTGAAGTCAGAGGCTTTTTCCGAGGACTGGCCGTATCTGAAGTAAGGCAGAGCATCCTCAACAACAGAAAGACAGACTTGTTTGGAACAAATTATAGTGTTTTGAGACCAGCTGTCTCCCAGCTTAGCAGGGTTGGGTCACAGTTATGCCTCTGAATGGCTTGTCCCAGAGCTTCAGGATTTTTATGCCTTTGTGTGGAATGGGCAGCTGCAACGAGAGGCAGGACATACATTATGACTGATCCAGCCCAGTCTGGTGAGACCTGTATTTTAAAATTTAGACTGGGAGGAAGAATGTAAGGAAGATATTAAGTTAAAGTTTGGGCATGGAGTTGTAGGGATACTAAATCCAAGAAAGGAATCACTGCGGGTCCTCTGTGGAGGCTGAAATGGTAAATTACCATATGAGTGTTGTACATACAGTGAACTTGTACTAGCCTCGTGTAGAGTGCTGCCTGGGGGATGATGGACATCATCATGAATCACTCATTCCTGCCTCAAAAATCCAGGAAAAGAAAGACTTTACCTCATAGGTATTTGTGGTGGGTGCCCAGTGCAAAAAAGGTCTTTTATGTATGAGTCTTCTTCCTTTTCTTGCCTTCATGTGCGTGATCCTATAACAACTCTATGCAGTATAGAGGACACAAGCACTAATGTATCTTATAGGTATGCCTGTAAAGCCTTATGCAGAGGTGTTTTTCTTATTTAATTTCAGTGAAACAGTTCCGGAAGAGACACTGAGAAGAGCCAAACAGATGGGGTTCTCCGACAAACAGATTGGGAAATGCCTGAGGTTGACTGAAGCCCAGTGCCGTCAGCTGAGGCTGAGGAAGAACATAGTGCCCTGGGTGAAACAGGTACATGTGTGGTCCTGCTGGGGGCTTCCAAGAGTGCAAGGGGCAGGAGACCTCCGTGTCTTTAGAAACCCCTGGCTCTGTTAACGCCCACAGGAATTTTGATGTTGACATGAGAGGAGAACATGTTTCACCCCTGTAGCTGTTCCTTCTGCACTGCAGGCATCAATGTAAGGCCATGAACATTCCCAAAGAGATGCTCAGAATATTCTTGTTCTTATTTTGCGTGGCTGAGGTGGAAACACAGCTATGGGGCTTCGGGGTAAGGCTCAGAATGTTGGCTCACCATGGTGTGACCACGAAAAGCATAATACGGCTTCTCTTTTGGTAGTAACTTTTTATAGGCTGTAATTGAAGTCTGCTATTGTTATGGGTTCATTTGCTATTCATTGTGATAGCATGAGCCTAATGAGCTCATCTGGTATTCGTGGCAGCGTCACTAGGTGTTCTCCTGCTGCATTTAAGCTATGTTGGTATTAAACTGCCACCAGCTGGTTTTCTGTCCTTAAAGGGAAAAAAAACCCAACCCAAACTACTGAATGTTTCTGAAAGAGCTTGTCTGTATCCTGAGGCCCAATTCTAGGTGCCAAATCTCCTTCTGTTCCCCAGCTGCTGTTTTTCTTCTATGGCTCACCTGGCCACGGAAACGTGCCTGGTCTTGCATTGCATTCTTTCAGCTGCATGTGGCATTGCAGTGCTGGATTGATTTGTGTGCCAAGGTACCCTTAATAAAGTCATTCTACTTGTGCCTGCATGTGTGCCTTCAAAGCATATGTTTCTTCTTGTTCCATGAAGTATGTCACACTATTAGCAACGGTAATGAGCAGCAGACACTTAACACGGTGCTAATGACATAAGGTCACATTCTCCATTATTCACAAGAATTTGGACAGCCACTGAGGATTCCTAAAACTACTTGAAGGCTGGACAGGTTTTTAAATGGTATAGTGTGTAAAAATTCATGTCAGGACTGCTTTAATATTGTTCTCTGTTCAGTATTCTGTGTAGAAATGTTTCAGTTGTTCATTCAGGGAACTTCAGCAGTTGCTGGTGTCCTAGATGGACCAGTCACGATGTATAACATGTGATGAGTAGTTGACACAAATAGTTTGTGAACAGCCTAGTAGGAAAATTGTTCTGGGTTTCCAAAATTACATATAAGGGGTGGTTGAAAATCACTCTTGCTTTGTGTACCATTTAATTATCAAAGCACAAGTTATCCTGTAACACAAATATGTAGTAATTGTGCCGCTACTCAGCACGATCTCAAAGTGATATTGTGTGCATGTTTGTGTTCAGTGTGGGAGTAAGATGAAATCAAGAGCAGGGTGTGAAGGTTCCAGATGGCCCTACTAAAGAAGGCAAGAGACCTGAAGAAATGGAGATCTGTGTAACTAATGCTGCCAAACAAAGTAGAGAACAAGGGCCTTGGTGAGTAGGGCAGGTTCCTGGGCTGTGTAGGTGTTTCACTGAAGAGGTGCAGAGCTAAATCTACAGCTTAGAAAGAGATAGTAGAGTGTTATGTTGACTGAACTGTAGGGTCTGGGGGGAAGGTCAGGCATGTGCTGCACAGAACAGTTCAGATCACCTTCTTATGAGAGGAAAACAGTAGGACAGAAATAGCAGTAGAAAATGAAGGAGGGAAAAGAAAAAAACCCCAAAACACCCGCACATAGGAAAGATCTTGCACTGGCCAAGTCACAATCCCTTGTCTTCTTCCCCATACAGATTGACACACTGGCAGCAGAATACCCAGCAGTGACTAATTACCTCTACATCACGTACAATGGGCAGGTAGGCACCTTCAGAAACAAGTCTCATTGCTGTCTGTTTTGATCTCTTTCCTCTATGCCACATTATTTCTGGAGATCTTGCAAATGTCTCTGTCTCTGTGGCAATTATTTTGGATGTTGTTACATATAGTCCCCTTACAGAAGGCCTGGAACTTTCTCCTGCTCAAATCCTGTTCTGGTGCATTTAGCATTAATGGCTCTGTGTTGTTAAGCTCCTGTCATATATCACCTGTACATGCACAGGTAGGTGCTGGGAATGCACAGCTCACGTTTCACTAATCTCATCCCAGCATTCATTTTTATGTGAATGTCCACAGCTCCTTATGGCTGCTCGAACAGCCACATCAGAGGTGCTCTGTCTCCTTCGGTTTGGGTGCAGCACCACTAATTCCAGGAGAGTTGCACTTGATTTACACTGCAGTAAATGAGATCAGACTTGAGCCCTGAAGGATCAGACGGTTGGATATGAGCTGAGCACCAGAAACTGTTTATTCTGAAAAGCATGGAGTTAAGGTGCTGTGGAGTAACATATCCTTATGCCTTTTTGCTCTCCCTTCTCAGGAACATGATGTAAAATTTGATGACTGTGGAGTGATGGTGTTGGGCTGTGGACCATATCACATAGGTAAATCTTTCTTACAACTCCTCTGTTCTCCTTGAACCCTCAAGCCGCCTTCAGATATTCTTGTGGTTCATTTGTTCCTCTTCTCATATGGTGACAAAACCCTCCAGAGTACAGTGCACAGGACATCAATTCCTAACACAAGGTTTGCCTTTTATACTTGCTTGGGGACTTCATTTCACACCCTGGAAAAAAACAGGAAAATTTTATTACTTTTCACTTAATACTTAGTTATAATTTCCACAAAGTTTTATGGAATTTTTTAATCTTATTTTTTTCATATGTTAAGGTCTTAAGAACCTGATAACTTGTATCAGGAGGATTTTGTTGTTCCTGCACCTGTCTTACATGTTTACTGCCATCTCATGATGGTGTTCTTACACACTATGCATTTTACAGCTGCAAATATAGGTGACTCTGAAAATATTTTGATCTTTTCAGCTGCTTTTGTATAAGCAATTCTCTGTATGCTATTTTTTCAGCCCACTCAGATCATTATATACAGCACAAGAGTTTCTTCATGGCTGTGAGTACTGGGTAGACAGACTGCTGAATTCTGTATATGATGACTTTCACTTTTTCTATTAATGGATCCCTTTAAATAGCTTGCAATTATTGACAAGAAAAAAATTGCTTGTTATTCAGAAATATTTCTGCTCTGCATCTTGCAAGAAGTGGTGATAGGTTTTGAAAGCTGAAATTGAAAACTGCATCCATTTGTTTTGCTTTGATGGAGAGGTCACATGCTGCACTCCCGTTGCTGTTTGTAGGACGTGTCTTTTTGAACTCAGTTTCCAGCATGAATGTTGAGATGGGTGAAATCAGGAGCAACACTCCATGATTATGCTTCTTTTTTGTGAATGCTTCTTCCAGTCAACGTGCTGTGTGGCATGGTTATAAAAGACACGAAAAAGATGTCAGTGTTCTTTCATAATTTAAATGAATGTATGTGAATCCATTTTGCACTGACCACCTAAAACTCCTCGTTGCTTAGATTAGCCATGCAGGTCTGGTCTTGGTCTCACCTGCTCTGTAGCTTTGATTAGATCAAGACCCTCTTTGAAAGAAGTTGCAATTAAATAGAGGCTGCTAAAGGAAACCATTAGTTGTACCTCTAAAAGAGTTTTTCCTAGGTGCAATAGCCAAGTTGATTTCTTTTTTTTTCCTCTCTGGTTATCCTTTTAAGGCAAGTAAGCAGAGTGCTCTTCCTCTACGCTTTCAGAGTTGTAATCAGAATTCAGTGGGATCAACTTAGCGTTCCCTGCCAGGTCAGAAAGGGCTAAATGATTTGAATGGAAGTTAAACATGTGACACTATTTTTCTTATTTCCTTGTGAAAACTGAGTTTTAGATTAAAAAAAACCAACCTTATGACTTTTATTTGAAAATATCCTGAAATATATTGCAGGAAATTCTTGAATATGTTGACAGTTTTGCAAAATAAAAATATTTAGGGGAAGTGTGAGGCCATTTCAACTCATGCTATATTCTGTGTTTAAAAAGAAAACTGTCCAAACTGGTGTATTCTTTTGAAGTTTCTTGTTAACTGATATGCCAGATAGAAACATGATGTGAATCAGTGCTATTACACATTCTTGAACTTCAGTCTTTGGCACACCTTTCCTGCACACATGAAGCCTCTCGCTCCCAGAAAGCCTGAGCTGCAGTCAGTGACTTGTGCTCCATGAGGTGTTGCTCAGGTATTCAAGAGCAATCCTTCCTCTTCACCTGCTGCCAGGAAGGGATCAACTGTCCTGAGAGGGGGTTTGTTTGTGTGAGTCAGCCCTGAAAGCAGTACGAATATATTCCATCACCTGCGTGGGTCAGCAGAGTGCTCTGTAAATTTTAAGGTGTGCACTTAGATTTTAATGGATTGAAACCTGAAAGTGAGTTCAAAAACATGCCTGTTTTGATGTAGTCATTATCTTCTGAGGAGCAGTGTCTGTCTATGTTACAACAGTCATTACTAGTAATACTATTTATTTTCTGTCTTCCCTTTTCCCGTGTTTGGACATGACCATTACTGGATGTGCTTGGAATACACTTACAAGTGTTCAGCTGTTTTCCCAGGTTGTCAACTGTCTGAAGCAGCCAGATGGGGGCTGCAGATGACCATTGTGTTCCAAAGTTGAGGTTTCTTATGCATATAAAATTACCTGAGTAATGGAAGTGGAATACAAAAAGTGAACAAGCACCTGGTGTCCCTTCTGGGAAACATCCAGTTTCAGATTTTATTTTCCTCTCTTTTCTGTGGGGCTTTAGCTGAGGCTTAGACATGTTTTGAGGTTCTTGTTTGATAGAAGTATGGAAACAACTTGTGTGCCTGTCAGTGAGTGACCTGTGCCAATATCTGTTTGTGACTAGGTGGTGGAGGCAGCAATTAAACACAGCCTGAATTTCCAATGTATGTTGTCACACAGTTATATATAAAAATAATATCAGTGGTTAATGATCATGTAATGCCTGTGAATGCAGCATGATGAGGTCAAGGTTTTCTTATAGACTGTAAGCATAACCATTTAATGCTGTTCTTTAATATGCATTGTTCTCTGTTTGTTACCCCTCTTGGATGTTTGAGCATAGAAATTTATAGGGCAGCAGCTGTTGGCACAAGTCTTGATTCCAGTGTTCCCTAAAGCCACAGCATTGCCCTAATCACAAGTGCTGCAGCTGTTCCAGGACTAATCACTAAGTCCTGGTGGTTGCCCAAGCTCGAGGTGATTCCCTCTGAGCCTCTTAGCTTTCGAGGTAGCCACAGTGCTTACGTAGGGTTCAGGATGGTAGGACGTGCTCGCCCCACAGTGTTGCCAATAGTCATTGTGGCTTTAAACTAAGGTAAAAGGATCACAGAGTTGCTCTGGAAGTGTTGTTCTACCAACCTGCCTTACCTAGAGTCAGTGCACAGGAAAGTCAAACCCACTGTGCTGTAATTTTTCTGTTGTTGGTTTAGCCATACTCTGCTCTTCTGGAAGGTAAAAACCATTTCAGTCTTCTGTTCTTTACACTACATCTGTAAAAATGCTTTGTGTTTCCTGGAGTAAACAGCACTGTCTTAAAACAACAGGAACTCAATTTGGTCAACTCTAAGCTTCTGCCTGTTTAATTTATTCTGGTTTAATTATTGGTTGGGAGGCAGCAATATCTGGATGGGCAGCAGGAACAGCCATGAGTGTTTATGAGTGCAGGATGACAGATGTGTAACAGGGGTCTGACACTCCTGAGCAGCTGAGCCAACTTGCCTCTTGTGTTTGGGGGTTCATGTTTGTGAATGATGGATTTCCGTGGGAGGAAAATTAGCTTTCTTGCTCTGAGCTGACAGGATGCAGTGCTGACTTTTTTCCTCTTCCTTTTCCTTTTTCACCTTGAGTGCTGAGAATGTCTCTTTGTGTTTTCTTCTCTACATCCTTTCTTTCCTTGCCCACTTTTCTGTTTCCTGGCAGGCAGCAGCGTGGAGTTTGATTGGTGTGCTGTTTCCAGTATCCGCACGCTGCGTCAGCTTGGCAACAGGACCGTCGTGGTGAATTGCAACCCGGAGACAGTAAGCACGGATTTTGATGAGTGTGACAGACTGTACTTTGAGGAGCTGTCATTGGAAAGGATCTTGGACATCTACCAGTATGAGGTAAAGAAAAACAGAAGCTCTATAAAAAGCCATGAAGCAACCTAAACTTTTCAAAATTCATGTCACTAGCTTGCTTTGGCAGAGCAGCTAGGGGCAAGGGGAGAGAGCTTGCTCACAAAAGCTCTTTGGTTTGGATCCCATTGTTGCATTTTACACATCGTTAACGTTCCTAGCAGACTGCTCAGTAATGAATGCCAAATAAATATTAAATTATTTTGCGAGATGCCATATTGTGCAGTATTTGCAAGCAGATTTAATTTGCTGCAGTCATTCGTTGCACAAATTGTTCTGTCCTTGTGGTGCTGGGCTTTAGTAGTTAAGCATACCCTTGAAGCACAAGTCCTCCACCTGAAGTGATAGAACATCATGCTAATGTGTGCTCAGGAACTCGCAGTCTTGGCCTTGCAGTACAGTGGCAATGTTGTGGATGTGGTCCAGCATACAGGCAGGCAGACCAGGAAGGGGCATTGGAATTGCCATCAAGCCAAAAACATATTGCAGCTGATCCAAATATTGCTCTGCTCTCTTAGGAGTTTTCAAGTGTTCCAAAGTGCTAATCTAAGAGATGGAGAAGAGTCCCAGACAAATTTGGTAATGAGAGTATATGTAATATAAACAGTTGGCCCCAATATGGAAAATGTCTAATCAGAACTCAAGTCTCAGTCTCGAGGCTTTGTTCTTCAGCCATTTGCAAAATACTGACTAGGACCATTTTTAGATTGCATGTTCATACTTTCTTATTTGTACATGTTGTTTTACTTCTTCTTTAAATTTTTGTAAAAACAGATTACTACTGGAAAACATAGATTTAGGATAGGCTGTCTGGACTCAGAGGCTGATTTTTGAATGCTTTAGGATTATGCATGAGGCTCAGCTCTGAAAGCATTGAACTCTTATTTACTTAACAGAACTGAACTCCACTTGGGGCGTGGAGCAAACTGGTGTGACAGTTTGTCAGACAAGTTACACTGATGAAACACAGCATCTAATTACTGCAGGACCAAAGAGGAGGTAGATACAGGTGATGAGGCAGCAACTGCTCATTTCAACATGGAGTGCTAGTAATTAGCAGGTTGGGTGAGAAAAATGTGTGAAAAGAATAATTCATATATATTAAAACTTGCATTATCCTACTTGTCATGGCAAGGCTTGGCAAGTTTGATGGGAGGTGATGCAGATCTCAAGGTCTAATAGCAGCATTCTGTGGTACTCAAACCTGAAGGGGTAGGACACTGTTGGCAATTCCCCCAGCTCAGCCAGCCATGCTCATAAACCGGGCTGTGCTTATGCATATGTTTTTAGCCTGTCCTGCTTGTAAACCAAAAAGTGATTGTGAGAGGACAGAGGGTAGGGAGGAGGCAACAGGAACTGAGGTGATGGGAATAAAAAGGGGGATAAGAGAGATGGTAAGAGTTTGCAGAGTTTTCTGCTACTGTGGCTTGGGTCTGAAAACAACCTATTTGATGTTTGCTCTGAGGGTGTTAAAGTCATCAGGGTCTCAGCCTAAACATCCAAAATCAGGGTTGTGCTGTTTAATAATTCTCAAGATAAATGGGAAATACTCAGCTGTTTAGAACACTTTTCTTCAGTAGCAACAAAAAGAAATGGTGTCATTATGTCTAATTTACAAGTAGGGAAACTGAGTATCTGAGGAACAGAGTAGCCTGCATAGAGTCGTGCAAAAGGACACGGGTAGACCTGGGGACAGAGCCCAGACTCCAGCACAATGTAGTGTAGGATGTATTATTTGTTATATGTAATTTCTTCTTAAAAAAGTGAGTGAGCCCAATGCTAATATCCTGTTAACAAAATGCTTCTTCAGGCAAATGCAGTTGGAAGTCAGTCTCTAAGGAAATGATCATTTTAAAATTAATCTGATTCTGAGCTCCTTCACCAATCCTGCAAGACAGCCATCTCTCCCAGCTTCATATATAAAGCATGAATAGTGCCCTGATTTCAGGCTGTTCTTTTAACCTCTCCTGCTCATTGGCCTCCCATGGTGTTCCAATAGGCAATAAACTGTGGCAAATACTTTGAAAAGTCCTGGATTGTTGGCAAACTGTAGGTAAAACCATCAGCAAACAATGGACACACCCCTGAGCCCTCAGTAGAGATGATTCACCAACTCCCTAAGTGTAGTTAGGATTAGCAGCAAAGTTTGGGCAACTGTTAAACTCAAATAAATAGGTGCACTGACTTGTCCCAGTTTTAGTGATCAGACAAATGAGGCTGCATTGAGAAGCGAGGTTACCAACAAGACTGAGGCAGCTGGAACCTGCCTACCGAGAGATGCTCACAGCTTCACACAGCCTTATCCCAGGGATATACTCAGCTGTCCCTCCTTTCTCTCTTTTGTGTCCTCTTTTACCTCCAGTTGACATTCACAGCTGCTCTGACTCACCAGAGACTGAGCTGTGCATTGGAGCAGAGTTTAATTTACTCTGAAAGTGCAAAGTTAGGTGGTAGTCTGTGAGGACAATAATGTAAAAAAAAAAATACAATCCCTTCCTTCAGATTTATTGGCTTTTTGTTTCCAGAGATGTTCCCTCTTTGTTTTAATATCTATCTGCTTGAGGGCCTCTACTGATTCTTTTTCAGTTTCTAAAATAATCCTGAAACAATTCATAAAACTAAAGGAGGCTCTTAGGTACAATTTTAATGGTCTAATTTGTTTTCAAACTCAGGGAAAAAGAAAGCCCAACTCTATTACTAATGACATAAAACCAACGTAGTAATAAAAAGAGTGATTTTTGTTATAAAGGGAAGAATAATTCCCTCTAGGCTTCTTTCACTAGATTATGTATTGCATATATTTTAAAGATATCTAATGGCAAGGATGTTATTCAATTTCTTTATAATTAAAATATGGCTGATGATAGAGTGATATGCAGTGGCATCTCTTTCTGTCTGCCCACATTCTCAGTGGAACAATCCTGTTCTCTGGCAGGACAGTGGCTGCTCTTTGGGCAGGAACATCCTTTGGGAAACAGCAGCAGAATTTTAAAGGAAGAAGTAAGCAGCAGCTAGGTTCAATTTATGGTTCTTTTTGAGTAAAAATGCGTATATGATTCTTTGCTATCTGCTTGAACAAGCCAATTCCTCTGTCTCCTTAGGGCTTGAGTCCCTAATGCCATCCTAACTTTGATGTGGGCAGTCTTTGAATTTTAGAGGCTCAGTAACTAGAATTGTTTTAAAGGAAGAAATAAGCAGCAGCTGAGGAGAAGCTGTTAGCTGGGACATTCACATTTCAGACATGTTGAGGATAGATTAACATGTTGGTTACCTTGGCAGCAAAGGTAGGCCAACTTGTTATCCAACAGGAACCCTTCCAAGCTGCAAGGAGGAGTTTGCTTATTCACTATCTGCTTCTCATAGGGGACCCCTGGTGGTCTAGTGGTTAGGATGCGGTGCTCTCACCACTGCGGCCCGGGTTCGATTCCTGGTCAGGGATACTCCCCCTGGGCAGATGGAGCTCATCAGCCCTGTAAGGCCATCCATCTATGAGAAGGTCACTCTAAACAAACCTACGTCCTGAGGACCTCACTGCCATTGTCCAAGCTCGCTTGGCCCCGGCAGATGAACCTTAGGATTAAAGGGTGGGCTCAGTTCAGCGCATGCTGTGTCTCACCTAAAAAATCCATTGCGCAGGCTTGAAAGGTAAAAGACCTTTCCCAAATCTTCGTTCACGAAGACTGGGCATACATCTGGTTCTCATCCATATGGGATGGTAAGGGGCCCAGGGACCAGAGAGAATTAGTCTGATTTGGATGGGTCTGGAAGCATTAAGGAACAGATTTCTCTTACAAGTTGGAGTTGGTGATCTCCAATGTCGTGAGACAGCCCTGTGTGGGCACAAAACAGCCTCTGTCCTTGCTCCACCCTCTGCTAATGAGGCATTTTTCACTGTCTGTCCTGAGCTCTCTCAGATGGTTGCTGTTGGCCAGCAGCAGCATGTCATCCCAGTAGTGACTGCGTGGGGAAAAGGAAAAAAAATCACCTCCAGCACTGCGTATTAGCCTGCTAAGCAAATAATACTCTTGTAGACTTTGGGATAATAAGTGCTGTTTAAATGCCAGACTTTTTTTAGTGGATTTTTATTATGGTAGGAAATTAACCACATCAAAGTTGAGTAGAGGTTGTACTAGCATTTATCATCTATTTTTTTCGCAGTCACTTGTAGTCCATCCTGCTCTCAGCTTACAGATTTGCCACTCCAAATCCCTTTAAATCCCTGATGAAGGAGTTCCTCTTGCAGAAAGGCCAGTGGGGCTGACCTCCTTCAGGAAAAACACACTTATTAATTAAAAGAACATTGTTCCTCCGTCTTTTAGAGCCAAACTGCAGATCACTTGATTTATGTTTTTCATTTGTTAGAAATGGGTAAAACTGTAAAACACATTTAGTTCAAAAGAGCCTTCACTGCAGCTGTACTGTGGGCCAGATCCTCCTTTGAGCAAAGTTTCGCCAGCTTTAATTTGGAAGTAAAGTGCCCATTATATAATTACCCTCAATTATTACACAGGCTAAACACAATTCATGTCCTCATAGCTGTTGCAGGTACTCTAAGGCCTTTTTTTGCTATTGAAAATATTCACATCTGACTAGATTGTATTTGAAAGCATTAGGAGTACTATGTAAAAAAAGAAGTCCGTATTTGCATCTGAAGAAGGATATGTGTTTGCAAGCAAACTCACTTGTGTTGTTAATTACTCTTTATTATTTCCTCAATTAAAATGTGATAGCTGCCTGGTGACGGACATGAAATGCTCCAATGTGTCTGGAGGATGCTGTGCCACTTGCCCTACCTCAACTGCCTCTGTAATTAAAGTGCTTACAAATAATCTGTGTGGAAATGAGCACATATGACAGTTTGCTGAAATACCTGTTACTGTCAAGGGCACTACAAGAAATGAGGAGCTAGTCGGGAATAAGGAGCATGGATTAAAATAAAGGGCTAAGTGTGTCCAGAGTAATCCACCATCACGTGCTGTCTGATGTGTTGGGCTCTGTTGAACTACACTCTGCTTAGCTTTGTTACACTCCTCAAAGACTGGCTTCTGGGGCTGGGAAAGGTGGTTTGCTTAATAAATAGCAGTGCTGGCAGAAAAAAACCCCATAAATTGCACTTGTTTGCCATTGCCTCTGTTCTGGATGTTACTGTCTTGCAACTGTAAATCTCTCCTTATAGTTTAAAGCCATTCCCCCTTGTCCTATCACTATCTGCCTGTGTAAAAAGTCATTCTCCCTTTTTCTTATAAGCTTCCTTTAAGTACTGGTGGTCGCAATAAGGTCTCCCTGGATCTTCTCTTCTCCAGGCTGAACAACCCCACCTCTACCAGCCTGTCTTTGTAGGAGAGGTGCTCCAGCCTCTGGTCATCCTTGTTGGCCCTATGATCTGTCTTTGTTCACAGCAACCTGAAAAAAACGTAATCTGAATATTGGATTCCTGTCTGTAACAGCTTTTACTATTGAGTTAACTTGGACATGACAGTGCTCCTTTCTGTCTGCCGGCAGGGATGCAGTGGCTGCATTATTTCTGTAGGAGGGCAGATTCCCAATAACTTGGCAGTGCCACTTCATCAGAGTGGAGTGAAGATCCTTGGTACAAATCCTCTGCAGATTGACCAGGCAGAAGATCGCTCCCTATTCTCAGCTGTTCTGGATGAGCTGCATGTGGCCCAGGCTCCCTGGAAGGCTGTGAACACACTGGTAAGTTGGTATGTGCATCTGGGAAATTATGAAGAAGCTGGGGGTTGGTAATGTGCATCTGCTCACTGGGACTGATACATTTCAAGATTATGAAGATGTTGAACAGTTTTTTACTGCCAGTGTTGAAGAACTTTTTGGTCCCTGTGAAGTGATGCTGTAGCAGCTCTGGGAGTGGGCAGAGACTGGAGGGGAAGTGTCTTTATATCACCTTTACACAACCTGGGGTATATACCCAGCAGAAGTTAGCACCGCCGTCAGGCGAGTCTAATCTGTCCTGCTGACCTTGAGAACTGCTCTAGCGGGTGGAGTTTGCAAAGGAATAGAGGTGTCTTGGCACTGCTTTTCTTTTCCTGGTGAGGCTCTATGGACAGGGAAGGTCTGAAGGTGTCAACTCGGGAACCAGGCTGCAGTCCCTGACTACTTCCCCCACCATCTTACTGGCTAGTTAAGTGCAAATGCAGTTAGTGTTGAAATTTTGGTATGACTTTAAAATATTTTCTTTTTCATAGCGTGTTTTCCTCCCTTTCTTTAGAGAGACGCAGTTGAATTTGCAAGCTCAGTGAGTTACCCGTGTTTGCTGAGGCCCTCCTATGTTCTGAGGTAAGGCTCAGCCATCAGAGCTCAGCAAGGGAGGGTATGAACTCCAAAGGCCTCTGAGACAAGGGAGAGTAATTTCAGGGAATGTGGAAAGCTCTATGCTAGGTGTACGTGGCATAAAGCTGCCCAGGGGACATCTGATCAAATCAATAAAGGAAGCCAACAGATCCAGTAAGTTCATCAGGCATAGATCAAAGGTAGAACATATTCTTAAGAATGTCTATTTAGCTGTACTGCCTTTTTTGAACAGTTAGACTTTCTGAGGGAGTTACACCAGTGTGTACACACAGAAAACTCACACATTCTGAATGATCAGTCTTCGAGGAGTTTCTTCATAGCTGGATGACTGGGCACAGAGAGGCAGTTTGCTGGGCACAGTTTACAAGTGAAAATAAACTGAAGACTGGGTCCTTTTCCGTATGAAGAAGACACATATCAAAATGAAGAGGCACAATATCAATTTTTGGGGGGAGGAGGGGCTAACACTCTTTTTATTCAAAAAGAAGGAAAGGAGAAGGATTTCTTATATCTTCAAACCTCAAGGAAATATCCTTTAGAAGAGACTCCTGAACGTGACTTTTCTGTCTCGTTTCTAAAGCTTGCAGTGGGGTTGCAAGCAAAGTTAGAAAACAGACTTCAGGTCAGGAGTATAAGTTAAAAACTGCTCCTGATGTAATTCTCCAGATTTTTAGGGAACACTTATTTTAGCTATTGTTTCCATTTGTATTGAATCCATGTTAAATATTTGCTAAAGGGTGTTTGTGCAGGTTAGGGGGACTTCAGGGAGAAAGGTAAATCTAATGGATGTAAAACTTGAGGAGCTAGAGAGTGAAAAGCCCTCACACAGTGCTCTGTCTGTCCTCTATTTGCAGAGCAGCAACAGGACCACAGCTAAACTTCTTCATCCTTTGAGCAGATATGACCTTTAATATTTGCCAGTTTCCTTGGAAAACTAAATGCATTTCTCCACCAGTTATGTACTGTGTGCACCAGCTCACATCCTCAGTGGTGCTACTGACATAGGTCCATAGATTTAATTGAACTCTATTGATTTACATCAGCTGAAGAGGTAGTCCAATAATATAATCACCAAGGTACTTGTTTCTGTTTATCTTAGACTAAAGTGACTGATTTTCTGGGATAGATCCTTCTTCCACTTTTCTCCGCAGCCTCTGTGTGGTGCCCATCAAAGCAAAGGGGAAGCTGTGCACCAGTGGTAGAAATAGCCAGTGTAACATCTTTTTTATAAGATTATTGTCCTTAGAAGGCACCTGAATCACTGTCTCTGGACCCATGTCCTCCCAGATCCCCCTCTCAGATACTACTGACAGCTACATCTCAAATGTAGCTTCCAGATAACAATGTCTGTATCTACTGTACCTCTCCCTTAAGGAATAAGACCTTAGGGAAAGAACACAGTGAAATGGCCAGAAAAAATCAGCCTGTTTTCGTCTGGATTTACATTGTCATAACCATCACCAGTGACCTGTGCATTCCTCACTTCATCTGTCACTGGGGAGAAACTGGGCTAAAGTGAGAAGTTTCTTTTTTAGCTGAGCTCACAGCTAACCTGCCCCGTGGGGAAAGTCTGGGCCTTAATGGAGCTGTCTGGCTGATGAGCCACCTCCCTCAGCTGAGGGGAAGGTTCAAAGGCTTGACTCAGGAAGGGGATTTGTCAGCAGTGCTAAGGCTACACAACCATAGTTCTTCACTTGATTCTCTGTTATGGTTCTGGAGGTCTCCTGTCTTCTCTGGGAAGTATAATGGAGGGTGATTAGGTACCGTCTCTGCCTCTCTTTCAATCAAGATGGGGTAAGTGGCTCAAGTCAGGAGCTTCCTTTGCTAGTCTCTGATTGGCAATCCTGTGCTGTGGCACCTAACGCTGATCACAATGGAAGCTGACCTGATTTCTTTTCTTTCCTGGTCTCACAGTGGGTCCTCAATGAATGTGGTATTCACTGAAGAGGAAATGAAGAATTTGTTAGCAGAAGCCACCAGAGTCTCTCAGGTACCAGTCTTCATGCTGCCACTGCTTTTTCTTTTTGTGCTTGCTCTATTTGTTTCTTCTCTACTGTGTTTTCCATCTCTTTGTTTCTTTATAGTGTCTTCCTCACTCTTTCCCTTCTTCGTTTGGGGAGGAGCCACTGAACTTGTAGTTTGACTCCTCAGTTTGTTCCCTAACAGGCTCCCTAGCATGGGATCCTGGGCAAGCATCCTTACTGACACCCCTGGGATGCCTGCATGGATCTAGGATGGCACTTGGCTGTTGTGCCCAGGCATCCATTTCTGACAAGTTAGTTATGTAAATAGATATAGGCTGGGACCTTCCTGCCCCAGCCAAGCTTGATAGTGGTGAGTTTTGCCAACTAGCATAGCACTGGTAGCATTTTTCTGAGTTGTTTGTCTGTTTTCTTTGAACAACTTAAAATTTCATCTTGACATCTCTTCTGAGGTTTTTTTCTTCTTTTTTTTTCCTTGTTTTGAATGGTCACTTTTCAGAACAGTCCTATGGTGTCATAAACAGTGCTGTCACAGGAATCTTGGAGTTAAAAATAAATCAGGGAGGAAGTCTGAAAACACAATGGCTATGGAAGCCAGATATATTACTGCTCATTAATCAGGTGATTAAATCTTGAACAGGAACAAAACCATGCAGTTTATAAGTATATGAGGCACATGATGGAAGTTTAGCTTTTCAGCAAGAAATGGTGGAATGAAAGGGAGATGCCTTGCAAAATAATAATATCCTGAAGGGTAGATTAGTGTGGTGGCAAGGAGACCACTTATTATAGTCTTTGATCAAGTTTTAGAGGGAAAGTACCACTGTTACTTTCATCAGAAGGAATTATTTAACTAATTCTCAGAAGACTACAGGGTCAGCCTGGGCTAATGTGCCAGGTTCTTAGCAGTGCTCAGCCTCCCAAAATTACTGACTTCCCTCTGTACTTCACCTGAAGTACTCTGTGTTTACACTCACAGAAGCAGCCCAGACAACAGCCTTAAGCCCCATTCAGTGGGACAGATCACTTTGTCATGCTGCTGGGTGGCTTTATGATGACAATGGGTGCCCTATGGGAGCCTGAAGCCCAGGGAAGTGCCCACTGGTCACCTTAGTTGTCACATCTTGAATGATTTGAATTGGGCAATGCTGTCCTTCATTGCTGAGAGGTCTCATCCCTGGTGCAGGAGACTTTGGTGGGAGTTGCACTTGCAGACTCTTGGCAAGATGTGACATATTCTTAGGGGAAAGAGAGGGTGTTCCCATGGAATCCTTAGGATGTCCAGTTCTGCTTCACAAATAGGGCACTGCCACATGCTGCAAACATGACCAGTTGCACACCATGAATTTTTGGGTGCTCTGATTCTGATTCTCGTCTGGTTCTGCTCTGTAAAACTAGATTTACATGTTTATTTTTTGCTAGTGTAGTCAGACTGCCGAAGAAAGACTTCTTCCTTCATCCAGTATTGTATATTAACCAAAGTTATGGTAAAGTTGAAGTTAAGGTAGCAAAAAGCAAACCAGAACAAAAATAATGTGTTCTGCTTCTAAATTAGGAAGGGTTTTTCATCCTTGTTGAGGCTTTGTGGTCAGTAAGTGGTTCCACAGAAGCTACCAGTATTAGTTGTGGTCACCTTTGTGGGACACAGGCTTCATTTTTCTGGTTACAAAGCCTTAGCTAATTCTGCTCCATCCAGCAGAGCATCTCCAGGTAAAGGGCCTGACTGGTGTTGTTCTGTTGTTTTAACTACTTTGCTGTTCTGGTGTTGTGCCATTATGGTATATATGTTGTCAATAATGTACCAAACTTCTTGTGTGAGTTGAGACAGATTGAAATAAACAAGGTTGTGTGCACATATAAAATCTTCCGGTGAAAAACTGCAGCAAGACAGAAAGTTACAGGACACAAGCCACTAAATTTATGAAACAGTGTCCTTGCCTGTGAATTTACCCTTGCACTGATAAATGGAAGGAATTGTGTCTTGCAACTTTTGGAGTTGCTTGTGTCTTGTAACTTTTGGAGTTGCTTGATATTTTTTCAAGAGGAGCCTTTTGAGCATGCACAGACTGTCATATACTTCGTTTTATTCTCTAATAAATAACAGGTAGTTAATAGTGGATGGGACAGGTAAAATGCTGAGACACAATGCTGGCCAAGAAGAATGAAGATTAGATTTTTTGAAGCAAGTGTGTGGGAGGAGAAAGTATTAAAGGGGAATGGGAAGTGTGTGGTAACATCCCAGACCCCCAGGTAGGAGGAGGAAGAAGGAAAAAAATCTGTACCAGGCATTGAGGGACAAGGACAGGTTGTTCCTGGCCAGCTATAATTAGTGGCAACCTCTCCCTGGGAGACTTAGGAAACCAGACAGAGAAATTAGAAAGGAAAGGATCAGTTGCCTAAAATACATTACTAAAGTAGCAAACAACCACTCTACAAAGTCATTAAATATGCCAAGGATTAGTTACTTGGTGAAGCAATATGTTCAGTGAGGTGTCTGGGAGGCTTAAAGGGAGGAAGAATTGATGATCTTGGAGGTAAGGATCATCCTTGAGAGACAGGATCAGAGGTCATTGGATCCATGCACCTCTCACTATGTTATTTTTACCCTGATCTCTCATAAAAGCCCGTTGTGGTTTTGCCCCAGATTTCATGGTGTCATTATGGAGAACTCAAACTTTTGCATCAGTGGTTTTGGGGAAATCATGCCGTGTTTTTGCCCATTATGTTCTTTCAAAATTAACTTATCTGTGGAAATAAGGATATTGATAGATTGGCCTTTTGGGATTCTGCTTCCAAAGGAGCCTGGATGGTCTCCAGATACTCTCAGAGAAAAACTTTCTTATTTTTTCCTTGTCTTGATGACAGGATCACCCTGTGGTGCTCACTAAATTTATTGAAAATGCCCGTGAGGTGGAAATGGATGCTGTAGCTAAGGCAGGAAGAGTAAGTACTTTGCTTTTCTTCAGTAGTAAACTTGTTTTTCCACATTGGATATTTGCAAAAATGTGTGGTTTGAATAATTTACTATACAGCCATGGATTTGTACTGAGAAGGGTAGAGAAACAAGAAGAATTCATTTTAGGTTCAAAACCATTAGGTTTGAACAGTTATTTTTTTAAGCATTGCTTATCCATGTAAATGAATCCTTTAGAATATAATTTTTACTGCATTTGCAAATCACTGACTTCAGGAATTACTTTCATCAGACCTGTATCTGCATGTGTTATGCAATTGCCACAGATATTTTATTATTACAATGTCCCCTTGCATTTAATTACTCAGCAAAGACAGTTCTCACAAAAAACCCAGAAACTTTTCAATTAACAGAAATATTCTGTTTTCAATCCTAATTTCTAACCAGCAGACATATGCACTTTTTTGATATCGAGGTAGTGTGCCTTGATGCAGTTCATTCAATTTAAGTCCTTAGGCCTGAATTTCTTCCACTTGCTTTTCTCTGTGATAAAAACACCACCAGAGTGGGCAAAAAATAATATGTCAATGATGTTAGTCCATTCTTGCTTCTGGTGGGGAATGACAGCTTTTTTGTGCTCTGGCCAGCAGAACTTAGAGAGCTGGTTTAAAGCTTAATTAGCTTTTACCTTCTGAGTCCGTGTGTGTTAGAGAGAGGAAACCTTGATATCTCCAGGCTATGGTATGAAAGACACTGACACAATCTCCTTGTTCATATGCCTTGTGTGGGGCTTCAGGCATATTCTCCTCAAAATCTTGGAAAATTCACTTTTCCCCCCCCATCTGTATCTTCTTTTGGATACAACTGTTCAGGAGACTATGCTGAGGATGAAAGAACAGTTCATGAGAGAGGGGGAGATGACCAACTGCTCTCTTGTTACTGTATGCAGGTTATTTCACATGCTATTTCGGAGCATGTGGAGGATGCAGGTGTTCACTCTGGAGATGCCACCCTCATGTTACCCACACAGACCATTAGCCAGGGAGCCTTGGAGAAGGTAGGTGTTGCACTAACACTGAAAAGAGAAAAGGAAATGAGGGTTTGAATCTCCTTTCCTTCCATCAACAATGGAGAAATCAAATCATCCATGTTTTTTTTGAGGGCCAGTGTGATATATGCAAGTGGGGGATGTCATAGTGCCCCTGTGACTGGCTGTGCTCTGCATAGCATCTTTTGAACTGCATCTCATTGATTTAAGCAGTAGGTGTGCATGCTCTTAGACCCACTGGATTGTTTTGTTTCCTTGGATTAGAACCAGTTTCCATAGCAGTAGAGGATTGTCTAATTCATACATATGCCATGGCTTATTTTCCACTTCCTTTTCTCCCACAATCCTTAGATGATTATGTCAGCTGTAAGAATTTATAACTACCTGCTTTTCCAAACATAATATCAGGATGAGTGAACCTCACCTAATCTTGACTTTTTTCCCTTTCAAGAATAAACCTGGTAATACAAAGTTAGTTGTCAAAATGCAATTTTAAAATAAAATATGCTATCACCTGTGATGTCATCCTGCGAAGGGTTTGCTTGGAAGCCGGCAAAGTCTGTCATGCACTGATCTGTGCTCCAGCTCTGTTTCCAAGAATGTCCAAGACCTTGCTTCTGAAAATAGTTGTCTCCTGAAGCAAAGTTATTCAGCACTTGTACTGACAAACCTAGTAAATAAGACTTTCCTCCCAGGGTGTTCCAGAGTGTATCTTCTCAGACACCTCCCACTGATCTATGATGGGACAGGCATATTGGTGAAAGACTTTTAGGACACTTACAAAGTTGAGTAGTTATTCTCAAATGCTAAAACATTATTAATTATTTCACCAAGAAAGGTATAAAGGCTCCAGTGTGCAATGGAGGAATTACTACAGTGCAAAGCTTTGATTCTCTCTCCTTCTCCCCCCTGCTTTTTCACACACACACACACACACACACACACAAAACTGATTTTTACCTCTGCCCTCAAAAGGCACTTCAGACTCCAGGTTACTGGGGACATTAAACATGTTTGCTTCTGAAAGATAATGCTGTTGCCAAAATGAGTGTATAGAGAAAAAAACATAGGGCAGAGAGCGATGACATTTAAAGGAATCCATATGTGAGGTGATTTATTGCCATGATGCTGTCTATTTTGTGGGACTTAATTATTTATTTTATATACACACACACTTTATTTATTTGTGTTTTATAGGTAAAATCTGCTACAAAAAAAATTGCAAATGCCTTTGCCATCTCTGGTCCGTTCAACATCCAGTTCTTGGTGCGAGGCAACGATGTGCTGGTAAGAGCTCTTGAGACTCTTGTGGCAGGAATTCAGGCTCCCCTTAGGTGCATGGTTCCTGCATCCCTGCTGTGGAAACTGTGGCAGTAATAGCTGTGGCAACTAACCTGCCTTGTCTGATCATGTGGGCTCACCTGTGCCACCCCTGATCACAGAGCTCTCCCTGTCTCTGTGGGAGAGAGCATCCTCCTCTGCCTTTTCGTTCAGGGTTAACTGAGTCTTGTTGCCTGTCTGTCAGCACTAGCTTTGTTTTGCTGTGGGCTGTGGTCCTTCCCAAAATTATCGGTTTGGAATAGGATGGACAGCACTGAGACCTCATCCTATAAACTGAATATCATGGCTTTTAGATCTCTGATATCCTCTCTCATCTTTAGCTATTTGGGTGTTAAATTAGGCGTTCCAAAGGGATTGGAAAGAAAGCAAGACAATGTAAGTGTTTAAGCCTTTAATATAAGCCATTAAGATGGTTATCTGAATAGTCCTAGTAGCTATCAGTAACAGAAGTACAGTGGATGTTTCACTCTTTTTGGGTAACAGATGGCTTTCTGTTTCTAATGGAAGGAGGTCAGAGGAATGAGAGCAGAGTATGACTGAGGAAATTGTGACTGGGAAGAAAACCTGATGTAGAAGAGATGCATTATTGGTAAAAGATCTGTTTTGGGCTATTAGTTGAGCGAAAAGTACTTACTGTTGTTCACCTTTTTTGTGTTTCACACATGGTTATTCAGAAACTCCAGAGAGGGACAGATTGGAGTTTTCTATTCCTTGCTTTCCCTCAACTGTGCTTGTCTTTTCTCTGCATAGCCCCCCCTTTCCAATTCCACCTTAACTTACCTATTCCTACCCCCCTTCACTCCCCTTCATCCTCACTTACAGCGATTCCTCTTCTGCTGTTGAACTCCAAGGTGGCTTCTCAGCAGAATGCAGAACTTCTTTGTTGCTTTCTTGGATCACTGAATGACTTCCACATGTAGATGAGGGAAGTCAGTAAGGATAGTCCAGCCTTTCAGGAAGTGCCACTACCATGAAAACAGGTTGGGCTTCTTGAGGTTGTACCTAATGCCTGTGCCTAAGTTTCCATGCCTCTTGCACATTAACTTAGGGTACAGTACAGCACGTTTTCTGGGTGAACTCTAGCTTGCCCTCAGTTCTAATATTCAGGGAGTGGAGAGGATCCTCAGTTGAAGAACATCAGGCTACTTGTATCTCAGGCTGGCCACTCCCCATCCCTCATCGCTGTTTTAATATTGAACACAGTTTCTGTGTCTCTTATTTGACAATCTGAAGATCGTCTCTGCCAAGAGGACTAAGGACTGATTTCCAGAAATATGAATCACTCTGTTTCTTCACTGCAGTCCGTGCCTGACCCTGCTATCTCTCTTTTTCAATCCCATCAGGTGATAGAGTGCAACTTGCGGGCTTCACGTTCCTTCCCCTTTGTATCGAAGACTCTGGGTGTGGACTTCATTGATGTGGCCACTAAAGTGATGATTGGAAAAGAGGTTAATGAGTCATCCCTCCCCACATTGGAACATCCTATTATTCCATCCAAATATGTTGGGATTAAGGTATGCTTTCCAAAAGAACACCAAAAAAAACCCAGCACAGAGCCAGCATGTGGCACATTAATAGAAAATTAGTACTTCAGTGCCCAGAGAGAACAATTGAGTCATTGGCCAAAGGTCAAATTGACCTTTTGTAGTTTCTGTCAGGATAATTGGAAAATTATATTTGGATATTTGGAAATTTTAGAGAAAAATCAAAGAAAAATTATCCAGCGATTATTACCAAAGTCAATCATCCTTTATTTTTTACTTCTAAGCTACTCTGAATCATGTTTATGAACTGCATAATAAATTTCCACTTGCAGAATTGAACACTGAAGTTCAGACTGCTCAGTAATACTATCTAACATATGTGTGGACATGTACAACCTTGTGTTGTGAGTGCCCCTCAGATTTCATCATCAGGACTGGGGACATGTAATCCCCTCTTTATATACCACCAGTTAAAATACATGTGAAAGTCTTGGATCCTTTTATTTCAGCAAGGCCAAGGTTTTACCCTTCATAATTACTAAGCTTATATAGCACACAAGATACTAAAGTATACTGTTGATATTTTTGAATGCTTAGTGGAAGAAAAAAAATTAATTGAAGTTCCTAATCATAAAAATCTAGAACAGTATTGCAGAAAATCCAAGGGATAAGGAGAATTGTTTATACTGAAACTTTCAAGCTTTAATAGCTTCCATATCAAGTGAAAACCAAGGAAGCAGAAAACACCTAACATCTTCCTACTAATAAAATGTTCAGACTTTTTAACATGCAGGCCAAATCTGTGGCCCAAGCCAGGCCAGGTTATTGGCAACCAGTCTAGAAGTGGCTTTACATTTTATTGTGATGCCACAGAGAGGCACGAGCTGAAATTTGAAGTCGAGATTTTTTTTTTTTGCTTTTGTGAGTCTTATTTATTTTTATAAATTTCTGTTATTTAGACCTAGCTCTTCTGCACTGTTGTTAGCTAAACTGTCAAGAGTTTTTTCTCTCCTGGGAATGCTGGCTACAGAGTGGAAAAACCAACTATATTCTTCAAAACTTCCCACAAAGCCTTTTATACTCTTTGTGTTCTGTGTGGATTTGTCAAATATAAAAACTTGCTAATGCCTTTGGAAGTGCTAAACTTTGAAAAATATTCCAGTTTAACCTCTTTATCATTATTCATGTGTCACGTTTTCTATCCTCTCACAATTTACTGCTAGGAATATTTGCATAGACACAGGATCTTGTTTCTCCAGCAGGTCTTAAATGCTCTGAAAAGAGAATATGAAATTCTCTTCCTGTTTCACAACATAGCTGCTCCTTTGTGGATTTGAGTCCCACTGTTTCAGCTTTAGTGGCTGCAAGACTGTCTTAACATGTTTGCTTGTGGACTGATGCAAGTATCATGGCCTGACCAAGATTAAATCCTGGATAGAGCATGACTGACTACATTTTTAATAGGATTTAGAACCAGAGTTTGCTCCTGCTGATGCATTTTTATGTTCATGGCAGACAAAAGTTAGGGAGCTAGTAGAGAAGACTTTGCTGCTTGTTGCCATTCAAGACAATATGTGCATTAAAATAATCCACCTTGACTGCCATATCCCAGCTTGAGGCTCTGGAGTTGGCCACTGTAAAAATTTTCTCCTTACTTACAGTAGAAACAAAACTGATCTAAAAGTCACAAAGACAGGGGACATTTTTTGAGAAACCTTGTGAATTTGTGCTGTTGCATTTTAGCTGGTCATTGTTAGGTGACATGAAGCAGCATCTGTCCCATCTGCAGTGTTACCGTCGGAGACTTCCAGGAACAGAATTATGTCCCTGGATTTAAAAGTAGATTCTTTCTTAAGCAGCAAGGATCCTGTCTTCATGAGAATGCCATGAAGAGGGCATTTAAGATGTGGAGAAGCCCTGTAGAAAATGATTCCATAGCAGGAAACTTGTTCCTTGTTTGTTACGTGTAGTCCTTGGTTATTAACAGAATTTCTTTTCCTCCCTCCTTGTTTGTTATTTTAAGATCAAATTAGACAAGAGAACTCAGAGACTGCAGTGACCTAAGTCTTCAGATAATAATAATGATCAGGGGGTTTAATATTTTCATACAAAAGATTATGAATATGTATTTTGGGGAGGAGAAGAAAAATACGAAAATAATTTGCGAAGTTTCGTCTGGTTTACGCCAAAAGAGTGTTTTCTTGTGGAATAGTTTTATTATTGTGAGTGAAAAATTTCATGGAGAACAGTTTTCTCAGAAAAACCCACTAGATTCATATAGCATCTCTCCTTGTTCCATGAATTAGATGCTTCCTAGCCTTTCTGTTAAAGTGTGTCTTTAAAATCATACTGATAATGGACTACCACTGACTGAAAATCTACCACTGGAATGTGAGCAGGACTGCAAGAGTTAGATAATTGATTTATTGGTGAAACACGTGTTTATTTGTTCCAGTCCATCATTAGGGTGCTGAGGGGACTAATTTGCCAAGTACTCCATTGCTTATCAGCCCTGACCACTGCTTTTTTGGATAAATTAATGTCTCTTTCTGTCACTTCCAAGCGTAGCTGCAATTTTTATATTTTTTAAATGATCCATTAATTTATTTTTTTTCCCTCCTTCCTCTTTGTTTCACCAGGCCCCAGTGTTCTCATGGTCCCGGCTGAGAGATGCTGACCCTGTTCTCCGATGTGAAATGGCCTCTACTGGGGAGGTATCCCTTTTTTTTGTTGTTTTTTTTTAAACCAAGTTAACTTTAAACATCATGAATCTTAGAAAGTGATCTTATTACTGCCTGAATCATGATGGAATCTGTAGCTTCTTCAGAAAATTGAAAACATCTTTCTTAGCTGTAAAAAACAATATCTTGGAAAACCCAGTTTATTCAGCCACTGGATGTCCCTCTCTACCTGCATGTCAGCTCCCTGACTTGGACTTAGTTGGTGTGACAGCCTGCAGTGAGTTTATCTGAGAGCTGTTGGGTTCTGGGAGGTTCTCCCTGCATCAGTCTGTTTTATGAATCATCTGCTTCTGGACAGACAAGTCCTTACAGCCTCCAATCCTCCCCTGAACACGGGCTAGAATAGTAATGTCGAGACTCCAGGTCGTGAGCGGTTGGTCTTGGAACAGTTAATTAAGGGTAGAAAATATGTGTGGTGTTTTCTTGTTGCCTAGTAACCATCAAGGCATGTCCCAAGGTGCAAAAAGCGAGAAAGAGTGAATAAAATGTGATGGCTGCAGTAATGACTGTTGTAGGATGAAGAGACTGGGCAGCTTTACCCATTCTGGCTATAGCTGGGCTGTGAGGTGCTTCTGAAACGTCTCTCACTGTACACATGGCACTGTAAGGGCACAGGGCTGTTCATCTTCTGCCTAGGCTCATCACCCTCACCCTTGGGCTACAGGATTCCATCTATATCACCTGGAGAGACATTTACTCATGTAGAACAAAGAGGTTTCTTTATGAGTTTTGTTGAGCTATAAAGGGCTTATTAGATACACTCAAGCAATCTCTAGACTTACTTTCTCTGTTACTTCTAGAAAGAGTTGCAGTAGCAAAAACTTATTCTGGGAAGTGATTAAATACTGAGGCAATTAGATTAGGCTTAATGCTGCACTACCACAGCTAGGCAGGTGGCAGAGTCTGGGCTGCTTTATTGGGTGTGGGCTTTGCTGTGTCTATAGGTGCTGTTTTCATTGGAAATATTTACCATTGTAGTACAAAAAAGCATTCTACCCACATGCAAGCAAAGAACAGCCTTAGGTCTTCTACATCTCTCCAGAATTACTTTATTTTACTCTTCATAATGTGTGGGAAATCAGTATTGCAGAAGATTTCCTTTCAGTGTAGTTAATGGGCAGAAAAAAGTCAAGTGGCTTCTGTGACTTGCTCATTTTCAGAACACAATTGAATACACAACTTCTCCCCCCCAAAAAATAAAACCCCAGCTCTATACAGAGTTAGAGATTACCATGGTCATAAAGGAGGGATTATTAACTTTTATGAGTTGGAAAGATCCGTATTCACAAATGCCATAAAGTGTGACAGTTACGAAAGTCTTTCATATAAGTGAAGTAAGGATAATAGCTTGCTTTGGGTAAAATGCTCAATTATTCCTCAAAGAGGTTTTTCACACACATGGCTTGATCTGGGCTTGAATTTGTTACATCTGTCTCTTTGAGTATTGTGGCTGTTTTGACCATGCCATAATGAAAAACCTCTCCTGGCAGGCTGGAAACCCCTTTTCCAAGCCTACAAGACGTGGGGTTGTCTGTCACCCTAAGAAGTCCAGGATATAGACAGGATATAGATACACTGTAGAGCAGTGTGAACACTCAAGGATGAGTTTTTAGAGGAAAGCTGGGATGTCAGTTATCATGACTTTTTTTTATCCCTTCCCATGTGGGATTTTTGTTTGTTTAGTTGTTCTTTTTTACTTCAGAAGATCTGGCAAATCATCATTTGTTCTTCTTTCATGAAATACTGGTTTGTCCTCGCCATGGTAACAGTGAGGCCATGAATGTGAGGGCTAACTCTAGAATGGGAAGGACCATAACAGGAAAATGGGAAAGCAATTCTCAATCAGCCCCTTTATCCCATCTGTATATGTCAACGGATTTGTTGTTTCAAAGAGAAAAATCTGTGACAGTTTCTGCTTCTGACTATTTTTCAACAAGCGTGGAGCTGGCCAGGAAAAGTGAGGGTTGATTGATTTTTTTTGGTTGTGGGGGTTTTTCTGCCTTTTTTAACTTTCACAAAATCTCATGCATTCCTGTTTTTGTCACCAGAATTCCAAATTTTGGCAAGGAACATGGTTTAGCTCTTTCAGAGGATTGTTGCCGTATGAGAGTCTGTAAGCAACTGAGCTCCACAGCCAGTTCTGAATGCTGGAGAACTGCTAAATGATTCTTACTGGTTTCTTCCTCAGAATTTTTTAATATAAAATTAATTATTATGAATTGGCATGATTGCTTTGGGTTTTTTTTCAAAGTAAATACTCAAATTTTACTTGAATTTTGTGTATCTGTGGACTTTTAATGGAAAAGCATCTTTATATACCATGGTTTTCCTTCCCAAGAAATGCCAGGAGCACAGGAGAACACAAGCACTGCCTTACCCTGGTTTGCAGCCACACAGAGGAACTTGCCTGTGTGCAGAACCCTCGCTGGTGTTTAAGCCTTATATAATGTTAAACAATTTGCAGTGCACTCCCAAACATTAGAGCAGAGGCTGTGTACAGCATTCCAATAGCTCAGCAGAATCAGTTGTTGTTAATCCTCAGTGTGCTGTTTGAAACTAAAGTGTTGCTTATTCCTCCGTTATTGCTTCATTAAAATGATGAGATTTGTCTACAATGATTTTCTGATTTATTCCCACTCTCCCCATGCCTTCAGGCTCCATGCAAATGCGGTCTGACTTCTTTAAGCAGAATCAGAAAAGCCTGTTTAAAAATTTTGTTCCTGTTACTTTTTAAAGCAATGTTTTTTGGGGTTGTTTTTGGTTTTTCCCCTCACGTTGTCGCCTTTGTACCTTTTCCCAGGTGGCATGCTTTGGGGAGAACGTGTATTCTGCTTTCCAGAAGGCTATGCTTGCCACAGGGTTTACATTTCCAAAGGAAGGAATTTTGATTGGAATCCAGGTGAGTCCTAAAAATCAAAGCCGAGAAAGGATTGACACAGAGACACTCAGTAGCTCTTGCCTTGTTTTCATTCATGTGGCTTTATGGCTTAAATGTATTTTTCTGCAATTCATCCTGAAGTACAGTAAGACAATGAGGAACAAAGGCTCTGGAGAGATCTAAATTGGATTCAATACAGCTGACCTGATGGGTTTTACCTCTGTCTCCTAATAGTTTCTACTGGGAGCTGCAGAGGTTTGCTGGGGGAAGCCCCTGGGGATTGCTGGAAGCAGAGGCCTGGCAACAGAGAGCTAGAAGCCACCTTTCTGTGGAACAAAACCTGTAGATAGGCAGTTCAGAGAAACATCCCAGCTGGAACCCACAGAACCCATAGAGCTCACTCTATGCCCCCTCCCAGATGGGAGTCCTGGCAATGTTACTTTCACCATATAATCACATAAACTTTCTTCATATAATCATATAAACTCTCTACATCTGTGCATTGCCTCTTGCCCTTTTGAAACCAGTTCCCCTTCAACCCCCCAAACAGTGAGGCAGCTTCCATGCTGTAAAGCTGCACCTGCTAAGCTTTCCCCTAGGGTGCATGTTTCGTTCCAGGCAGAGCTGTAGCATCATTGACAGTGCAGAAAATGTGATGTTTTTGGGGTGTTGTGGGCTAGTTATTGATGTAACTCGTGTCTGTTGGGCCATGAGGCCTCCATAGGTGTGGCACATTCCTCTCCTTCTTGGAGTCACGATGGGAATATAATCAAGTACAGGGGGTCAGGGGTTAAAGGACAAGAGTCTTCACCCTGCAGCCCACTTCTGCCATTATTCCTTGTCCTTTTTGATGATGGTGCACAGCCAATATTGTTCGCTCCCCTGCAGCTCCTGTCAGCAAGGAGTAGCTCAGAAAGGAAGAGCCAACACTATATTTGTGTAGTGATGTTTCTGTTTTCTACACCTTGCGAGAGCTCTCTCCTCTTAGGGACTGCCTTTCAGACACATACTCTGCAGGTCCAGTGACTCCATGCCAGACGAGAGCTTGGACTTCAGGGTTTCATCTCTTGCTGTCACCGCCCCTGAAAGTTGCTCTATGTGACAGAAAGTTTTAAACGATGTCAGTATGGGAATGTTGTCCAGTGCAATGGCTTTTGCAAAGAGCTGTTACGTGAGGGAGTTCCTGGTGGGTTTGCGCTGGGAACAGCCCTGCCCCATTCTCAGGCCTGGATCAGTAAGGATGATGTGTATTTCAGGACAAACAAGGGGCTAGGCAGAAAAGCAAAAAGCCTTGGTTCTTTATCAAGGAATAGCTATCGAATGCAGGAGGGGCTGAAGTCAGAAACAGTTGAAAACTTTGGGATGTATGTATGTTCCTCAAGAATTCAGACACTTCCACTGGAACTAGAACATTTTTGAGCCCCATAAAACCAACTGATCGCCTCCTGCCATTTCCACATTGTGTTTGTAATAAGCTCATCCCCAACGTGATTTGCATAAAGTCAGTAAAACAAAAACACACAATAGACGAATTTTTCTGTCAGACAACTGGGGTGTGAAAAACATCTTTGGCTGTTTGTGCCAGCAGAGGATATGAAGGAAGTATGTGAAAAGTGGCCAGAAAGGAACACGATTTCTGCTAACACAGATTACCACTGAGTCCTTAAGTGTACACATATACACACATCTGTGGATGGAAGCTGTCGCTTCGTTACCTTTAATTAGCAGAAAAGTCTTTGCTTGCTACCTAGATAAAATTTAAAATTAAGCACGAAACTTTGGGCAGTTGATATTGTGTCTACTGTATATCTAATCACCTGCAGCTTTAAAAACCAGCATTTTAAAAAGGAGAAAAGCAAAGCCAGGAGAAGAAAATGGTTAAAATATAAGCCTATTTTCCTGATAGCAGCTAAAGGGAAACAGGCAGCAAAAAGTAATTTTAGCTATAGAAAGCATTTATGTAAGTTTTGTGTCAGTAGCTGTTAAACTGAACCAAATGTTCTTTGCACAAAGGTGTTAAGAAAAAAAAGAAGGGAAAAAGAAGAGATAAAGCCAAAAGCTCAACTCCACAAACCTTTTAAAAGTAACAAGATTCTGTCTTTTTTTAATGAGTGGTTTACCATTCGTTTTCTTGCGAAAGAAACTTGAAAATAACAGATCAATCGCTTAAAGGTCTCTCTGCATCTCAGCATATTTCTTATATAATTAAACTCCAAATCAAAAAGTATAAAGTTGCTGCTGAGAACCAGGTATTTGTTCCTCCCCACTGTAGTTTGTCACCTACCTACTTTTCAATGGTCTGCTTTGAAACAGAGGGGAAATAAAGCTCTGTGAGAAGAGAAGGTTAAAATGCTGACCTAGAGCTGACATGTAGACTATGGGTGGTCTTCCCTGTGTATTTAGCTGGAGGAAAGAGGAGTCCCTCACTGCAGAAACAAGAGACACAAGGAATGAGGAGGCACCAGGCAGGCTGTGAACACTGGAACACCACAGGATGGTTTCTCCAAGCTGTTCTGGTGCTCTGGGTGTTGATGCTTGTCAGGAGCACGTACACAAGTCCCCTTGGTTGTCTCTGAGGAAGGTGCTGTGGTTCTTCTGCAGTGGATAGTGAGCTCAAAGCACTTTCAGAGGCTTCGTTGCTTCATGACTAGCAGCTTGCTCTGATTTTTAAACTGAACTTTTAGCCCTTGCAGAGAGAGAAATAAGAAGCCACATTGTCTTGTATTCTACTTCCCTCAAAAGTATCTAGGCTCATATTTTGGTTATTTGGTATGCTGCACCTTTATGCCATTGCTATTAATCATGGTGAGGTGAGAGGATGCTGCCTTCCTGAAGGTGAAAGTCAAATAGATGTAGTTTACAGGAGTAGAAAGGGAGAACTTGATTTTCTTGCAAATGTTTCACTCTGTGGTGTTTTGCAAATCAGGAGGCAAATGGCTGTGCTGTGATCTGCAGTCCAAACTGGTCCCAGTGTGCCCAGGTAACGAGCCCAGCCTTGCTGAGGGGCTTCCAGGCTGGTGCACTTACAGGTTGCAGTTCCAGTGGCAATGCAAAGGTGTGGGTAACCCAGAAATCGTCCTCAAGGTCAGACAGGTGAGTGTTCCTTGACATCTGAGGGACAGCACAAGGCAGGTTGTGCAGTCAGCTGGGACCACAAGCCTGCTGGGTGGTCCTTCAGCTGTGAGCACTCTCTGACACTGCACAGGTTGAAGATCCCTGGGTTTTTAGAGGCCTGATGCTCTTCCAGGGTAGATTGAGTAGGGCTTCCTTGTTAGGCAAATGGATCTGTGCTGGTTTATGCAAGCTGATAATGTGACCTCTTTTCTTTTCACAATCTGGAGAAATCTATGATTCTGAAACCCTGAGTCTGTCATTAAATAATTTATATTTTATGCAAGAGGAGTTTGAAAAGCTATTTTTTTTTTCTTTCCTGATTGGGCTATTCAGTGATATCTCTGGGATGGAGTGCATCTGTCTTACATCTGTGCTGGTGACCACAAGATGCGGAAAGCATCAATAAAGTATTTTAGTTTTAAATCCCAGCCCTCCAAGTCTGTTGTTTCAAGGTAACCTTCAGCCTTAGTTCCTTACGTACCAGAATTTTTCTGTCCTCCACAGTGGATTTGGATGCAGAATTCAAGATTATCACAGGAGATGAGATGGCTTCATATTGTGCTGGATCTCAGTGAGAACTGGTGTAGCTGTACTGAAGGAACTGAGGATGTAGCCCTTTACAAATATGAAGGCTTGCTGGCAAACATGAGAGGGGTTATAAGAAATGGAACTTTTTCGATAAAGGAAAAAGAATACAATTCTCCTACAATAAATATCTTCCACTAAATAAATCTGCTTGTACTTTTCACCTTTAGTAACTAATGGTTTCTTACACAGGTTATTTCAGCCAGCTTGTAAATCTAAGGCTGCTCCAATGCAAGCTGACAGCTGTAATTTCTTTTCATGGAGAGGCTGTTTTATGTGTCACAAGTGTTCAGTACATGCTTGATAGAAGTTTATAATACTATTGTGAAAGCCAACTCTCCTCACCAGAAGGCAGAACCCTTCTCTCTGACTGGGAAGCTGCCAACCCTGTCACATTGTATATTTATATTTTTCAGTTAATGTGCAGAATGAGATGGCTTTCAGAACGAGGTTCTTTCCAGCGTGCTTGGAAAAAAACCCTGTTTACTCCCTTTCTTCATAGAAAATTGTTCACCCTTCAGAATATTGCTCTCTCACCCACAGAGGTTAAGCTATCAGTAGCTCCAGCAGGGACAAGGGAGCTTGCAATAATATTACTTGCAATGGCCAGGCTAGGCTAAGGTTAAAAGCAAGCTTTGGCTTGCCTTGGCAGTGAGAAGGGCATGTGTTGCATCTGATCTTTGCATTGCTGTACCTTCAACATCCCAAGGATGCTTATGCTAGCATCAAATTTTCAGTCACCTTTTCCTCTAAAATGACTTGTTCGAGTGCAGATATCTACAGGAGGTTGTCTTACCTTTCTAAAGTGTGTTGGATCTGGGTCTGTGTTGTGAGAGAGCCTTTCAAAGGTGCCCTTTGTGTCTGGGCATTCAGGTCCTTTTGGGAATATGATGTCCCAGTCTCCTGAGTGGTTTTGTGTCTTCCATTTCCATATGCCTGTGGCAGTTAGACATGAACTCACACATACACAGGCTCCTATCCATGGGAATGTGCAAACAGAGCATCCAAAAGCAGCCCAAAGCCCATCCATATATGTTATCTACCAGAAGAGAAAGCCAAAAGTTTGAGCAGTGATTGAAAAAATATTTAATTAAGAGCAGAGAGGACTCTAGTTAGTGTATGTGAGAAGGCAATTGCCGAGATATTTAATATGCAGTAGTTGCAGTCAAACTTAGTATGAAAAAATTTACCCTGGTGTTGTAACAAAATATGTCTTAGCTGGGAGTGACTTGGGCTTCAGGATCCAGACGTTCATCTTGGGAATGGCTCTGTATCAGGACATGCAGAAATTTCTGTGCACTCCCCCCACGCTCTCAGCACAGAAGGGTGTGTTTGGCTCTTAGCACAGTCTCGCGGATCTTCGTTTTGCCCAGCAAAGCACTGTTTCTAAATCCTAGCTTTGATGCTGCATCTAAAAAATTTCCTTTTTCAGAAGTCCTTCCGCCCCAGGTTCCTCAGCATAGCAGAACTACTGCATGAGGAAGGCTTCAAGGTAGGTGGTTTCAGTTATTTAAAGCTAGAGAGTTTTCAAAATCTGAAACGTCCTCAGCCTGCTTGCAGGAACAAGTTAGAGTTTCTTTGGAGACAGAGAAAAAGATATTTTCAATGTAGAACGGGAATTTTAAGCTGAGTGATCCATGAAGTCAGCAGGTATCACCCAACTAAAAGTTTTCGTGATTACTTAATTATATGGGACTGTTGTGAGGGCAGGAACAACTCTGGCTCTGCTACCAACCTGCAGCCAGGATGGACATAATAAACTCCTCTAAGATCTCCAAGAAACAAAAATGCCAACAGGATGCCATGTGTGGCAGGAGACAAGGAAGAGAAAACTTTTTGTATGGAGAAGATTTTATAGTGCTACTATAAAAAGTTTTCAGTGATATTCACAAGCTGCAGAGATACGAACTCTGTGGTGTTTATATCCCTCTTGTAACTCTTCTGCATCCTTTGGCATCCATGTCTCTATGGAAAGGCAGCTACCCACACAGCCACAGAAGACTGGTGAGAGCTTTTACAGTTCTGCCTTTCAAAGCTTAGTGCTAGGCATTAAAAAAAAAAAAGGTGGCAAAAAAAATCGTGATTGAACTTAAGCCCTATTGAAAGTCAGAGGGATTTAGTTTCTCCTAAGTCACTTCATTGCTTCTGGATGTGTTACTACCATTCGTTGGCTATCATCCATCAGGAAATCCCAGATAACAGAAATCTGGGAAAGTCATTCTGTACTGTGTGTCTCTCTGTATGGAGAGACACCTTTGTTATGAAGAATTCCCTCCAAAATCAGCTCTGACAACCAAGGCTGTGTGTTAGGTCAGACCACATGAGTTAAATGAAAAGATTTGGTATGAAGAAGCACATAGTAAATAACCTTTTTTTTTCTCCTTGACAGCTTTATGCCACAGAAGGAACCTCATACTGGCTCAATGCTAATGGTATCCCAGCAAATCCTGTGGCATGGCCATCTCAGGAAAGCCAGAGTCTGAGCCTCCCTCCAGTCAGGAGGTAAGAGTAACACTCACCTCATCAAAATTGTGTTAACATTCAGCACAGCAAATACAAGGGGCAAATTACTGGTCCTATTGAGATCAGTGGGACTTAGATTCAATCCAAAAGTTTTGGTTTATCTGATTCTGTCTGGAATTGCCCCAGCAGGGAGGTTTCAGCTTGACTAATGAGCATCTCATTGAATAGTCCTATTTAATATGGCTTGGAGGTATTGCTACATGTTACACTTCCATGCAAGGATACATGGAATCTGAAGATTTAGCCTTTAACAACAGTCAGTCATGCCTTTAACAGAGTTGTGCTGGGCTGTATGAAGGCTGAATATTGCTTTGCATTGCTGATTGGAACAGAAATAAAGCCCAAATTTCTGAGTTGGAGCTTAGTGCCTTAACCCCTTGTTTCTTGGGGTGAAGACTAAACTCAAATGAAATTTTTCAGTGTTGTTTATCTCCATGCCTGTGCTATTCATCAGAGGGCTTTATTAGGTGGGACACACTGTGATACCTTCTTGTGCATTCTATCTTCAGGCTGGTGAGGGATGGGAAAATAGATCTGGTGATTAACCTGCCCAACAGCAAGACCAAGTTTGTCCATGATAATTATGTGATTCGGAGGATGGCTATTGACAGTGGGATTGCTCTTCTCACTAACTTCCAGGTACTTTCCATGTTTCCTTCTCCTCTTAGGCATAAGAGCCTTTAGAGCCTGCAAGCACTTGTGACCATAGATTCCAGAATGTCTGTACCCTCATTATTTGACAAATAATGTATCTGAAAATCATGACAACACATTGGTTCGAATGTGTTTTCTTTTTGCTACTGTACAAAATAACGTTGCTCTGAGTAAAACAAAACAAAACAAAAAAAACAAACAAGAAAATCCTGAGTCCTGTACTGCAGCTGAAGTTGTGGCTGCATCATTTTCACTTCAGAGCAAACCTCTCACACAGGATTGCCTGTAACACGTTTGAATTATGCATGGGAACAACTTTGTAGTGGGATGTTTTTCCAGTATGGTCCTTAAAATTTACAGCAGGATGTTGCTGGGCTTTCTTAAATGATCCTTGGGGCAATCCAGTTCCAAAATGTCATCCAAGTGGAATTGCTGCCTGTGCTGTTGTGGTCCCCAATTGCTACTCATTATGTGTTTGCAGCTCCTGACAAACCCCTGTCACATACTGATAGGGGAAGACATATTTAGTAATGCAAAGTGGGACTCCTGCTGCCAGCAGTACCTTGCCTTCCTTTGCAAGTGGCTTCCACTGTCACCAAGGAGCCTCATCTGGCTCTCATTAAGCACAGCAGCCAAACTCCCACTGATGTTGGTGGGTGCTGGCATGAAACCCAGTGACTTGAACTGGTGTCTAGCTGTGCAAAATCTTCCTCTGTGATTGGAGTGAGTGGAGAGCAGAGAGAATGCCAAACTGTGAGTTCATAGACAGGATGATGTCAGACATCATTAGAAGGAATGGGGAATTGAAGACCCATTCTTTGCTTACTAGCAAAACATACTCTGACAACCAGAACAGGGGTCCCCATCCAAAATTTATTACTGCACCTGCTTGGTGCATTTCACTGAACTGTTTTGATGGCAGAGTTATAATCTCTGAGTTTGAGAGAGAAAAGCTACCTTGGTTCTCTTTAGCTTTGGGCTGTATGGAGAAACAAGAGCTCTCATGGGACAGAGCTGTCTTGCCAAGGAAGCCCAGCACATCTGTGTCTCGGACAGGCAGGTTCCAGAGAGCTGTAGCCAGCACCTGTGCACAACTGGTATTGATTTGGATGGACTCAAGGACTAGACCTGCACAGGGTAATTCCAGGGTGACAGAGTAGAAGTGTGGAGCCTGCTCTATCACTTAGCCTTCTGTAGAAGACTTTGCAATGCTCAGTCCTCCTCTGCTTTGTGTTGGCAGGTGACAAAGCTTTTTGCTGAAGCTGTCAAATACTCTGGGAAATTGGACTTCAGGAGTCTCTTCCACTACAGACAGTTTGATAATGAAAACACTTCATAGAAGAACTCTCTGCAACCTGCAAGCTTGCTGCTTCTGGCACCGCAAAAGAGAGGGGATCTCAGATCATCCAACTAGCCATCTTTTCATACATTTTGTAGCATCTGCACCAATTGCTTTTCCAGCTCACACAAATTAATTTCTAGCCAATACTTTTGCCTGCTCACTGGAAAGCCATCCTCTCCCTAGTCTTCTCCATATTTCCACATAGGATCAAATATTAGTTTCTTACTAGATGGGTAGATCCAGACACCACCATAGCAGAGAAGATGAAAAGAAACACAAGTGATCCTACATAGGAGTTGTTCCTTCTTTTCATAAGCAAGCCTTCTCCTTCTTAGAAATGCCTTCCTTGGATCCATACTGCCAGCTATTCGCATGCTGGACTACTAGAGCCTGGCCCCAAACTCCCATAGAGAGACATAGAGCTTTCTCTTTCCATTGCTGATTATTGGAGATTTTATGACTGTAAAAATAAAACGTTCTCCTGCTTGATCCACCTGATGACACCATGGATGCCTGTCACAGTGTTGAATATGATCAGAGCTCTTTAAAGACAGATAAACACAAATTCCCCATGATTCCCTGCAACAGCAGACGGGCATGATGCAGCTGCTTTTTGTTTGGTTTTTCACCCTGAAGAATCATCTTTTTCAGCATGCAGATTTGATGGGAGAAGAAGGCTGTGCATGTATGTGCCCTGGAATTGCTTCCGAGTTCTGCTCAGTCCTTCAGGCTATTATCAATATTATTTTTAAATTCTAGTTCAGCATTGTGAATTCAGGTGGCTGTCCCTGTATCATAAAGGCTCTCTCTCAGCTTTGTGTCTGGCTTCAAAAGTGGAGAACTCCCCAGAGACTTTTGTGTGTTGCTGTCTAACATATTATGCCATGATTGTGGGCATTAAAATCGAATCCTTTTAAAATGAAGTGTTGCAGTGCTTTACCTCTCCCGGTTAAGTGACCCCTTCACTTTCATTCCCGCCTTCTCTGCTGCTTTTTCAGCTCTGGCAGCATCTGCAAATGCTGTCCATGGAGCAGACACCCATTTGGCACGTGGGCCCCAAGAAGCTTAGAGTGTGGAGACAGATTGAGGGTGAAGAGATATTCTGGGGTTTCTTAAATTAATGTTGCAACATTTCAGGAAGGATATAAAATTTGATGAGAGCTCTTATTGTACATGCAAAGGATTGGGAAGAGGCTGTGGTGCCTTTAGGTACTACGGGACTCTCTGAACCATTGGTGCTAACTGCCAAGACCAAATTTTAAGACAGATTTTATTTCTGATCTGGTTGACATCCCAAGTGCTCTTATCATGGTATTTCTTCAGTACTAACTTTTGTGATGAACGCACATGCCTGCTCTATGAAGGGAAAGCTTTGCACTTCTAGAGTAGAGATGTTATTTAAAAACTCCACATCAGCAAAAGAAAACCCTCAAACAAACCAAAACTTTAGAGGAGCCCAAAGGCATCAATTGTTCACCCATTCAGTTGTGAAATGGAAGACTAATGTTGGTTAATGAAGCAGCACTCTACAGGCACCTTGCCATATTCTTTCAGTGGCAAAAATCCCACTAACAACTGGTGTAATCTCACATCCACCCACCCTGCTTTTACCTCTAGTGGTGAACAAAGCAACATCTTTAAACATCCGTGTTCTCTTGTTCTTACATTTCTATTTTGTCACTTCTCTTATGAGTTGAAAATGAAATAAATGCCCGGATTGTGACAGCTACTGCTTCTTAAATTCTGCATAGCCTGGATTCTGCTCTTCTTTTTTAAAGTCGTTTTTTAAAGCATTAATGAACACTAGTCTGTTAGGAAACCACCATTCTTATATCTGACAGTGACTGCATCATTTAGTGTGGAGCTGCCAAATACCTCAGAGGTGATGAGGTGGTGGAAAAAGAGCAGCAGGACAATGAAATGCTCTTTCTCTTCAGCTGTTGTACGAAAGAGAAGGGAGAAGCCCTGATCCCCCAGGAGGGACATGTAAAATGTGAGGAGCCAGATGACAGAGCAGCGGACTAACAAACATGGAAGAGATGGGAACTTTAAAGAAGGAGCTCTCAGTTTTGGAAAAATGGGAAAACCTTTGCTGCTTTTAATTCAACTTTCTTGAACAGTACTCCTGCCAGTTAGTGTGGGTGTAGCTATAGAATGTGTCTATACATTCCAGTTACTGCAGCACCTGCAGGAACTTAATCCACAGCTCCATTGGTGTCCACAGGCTCTCATACAGTTGGAGTGCAATTCAGTAGAAAAACACACCGGGGCTGAATACATACTGAGTACTCTGTAATTATGCAGTAGTGTTAATGTTTTGCTGCCAGTGCTAAACCCTGAGCCCCTTTCCCCCTCCTCTGAAGCAGGTGACACTAATGTTCTTCCAACACTTACACCCATCTATACAAGCGCCATCCCCTCTGTTTTGTTTTTCCCCATCTTCTTTTGGTGTCTCCTCCCCTTCCCTGCTGAAGAAAAAATTTCTTTTTACTCTGACAGATGCAAGGTGAAATTCCAACTCCTGTCATGGTCAGAAGGAGTCAAGAAATCATACTCCAGCTTACCTGGGGCACACACTGATGCTGACCGACTTTATTTCCTGATATGCTTTTCTTTTTTGTGCCGACACTATAGCAAAAGATTTATAAGTATCTACAGCTGTTGGGATCAATGTAGAGCTAAAAAAAAGTTACAGTTAGTATCTTTTGTATCAAGCTCATCTCTGCTTTCAACAGGTTGTGCCTTATATATGTATAAATCTTTTTCTTATTAATCTTGGAGAAGGTGACAATGACAGATGAAAGAGGTGGCTGTTCAGAACAAGAAATTTGCTAATCTACGAGCAGTCAAATAATTTTACTCTTTTTTGCTGTCTTAAAAGAGGATTGATAAAAGAAACGCATGAAAATGTAAGAGACAGTACAAAGCGCAACTTTTGAGACAAGCGCAAGAAATGGTGACAAGAGCCATGATGAAATATGAAGGGAACTAATTTTTAGTAGCAGAGATTATTTTTTTTTCTTAGTAATCAGTCTGCTGAGCCACTCTCTGGAGCTATAGTTCTCCTAGTGTGCTAAATGCTGGGAAGCTCTGGAGACTTGATTTCCCAAGAGACACTGTTGAATAGTGAAGTCAGGCATTTTCTCTGGTTGGTCACCTTCCTGGATTTACTGTTCTGGAGTTAACACCTTTTATATCACCTGGGGATTGCTCAGGCAGCCAACTCCTGCAGAGATTAGTAGCAAAGCTGGAATAGTTTGGCATGTTGAAAGCAAGAAGAAAAGAATGTAAGAGAAAGGACAACAGTGCTACGAGTTTTTCTGTTCCTGGTAGAGCTCTTAGAACACAGCAAGATGAAAGAATATGCTTTATGTAAGTGGAACAAAATTAGTGAAAAGCTTTAAGAAACCTCTTTTCTGTGAGACCATTTGAAACCATCAAAATCAGGTTTGTGAAAGTCCTAGGAAGTAACCAAGTAGGAAAGACTCCATAATCTGAAAGAGCTCTTGACAGTGAGCAGAGAAATGAGCTTTGCTTGGACTGCGGGTTGCTGGGTTTTCCTAAACTGGATGTCGCCACCAGCCTGTAAGGCATCTTTTTTTCCTTCCCCCACATACCAAATATATTTTGGACTCTTAAAGTTTAAAAGCCTATTTGTACTTTGGCTCTCTGTGCTTGCATCAGAGGCGTCTGGGAGGACAGCACCTCTGTATCTTTGTAATAAAGTGATCCATGAAAGTAGGGAAGGGATTGGAAGTTAGCACTGTGCTAAACCCCACAACTGCAACGTGTGTGCGCTACCAGTAGTTGGATGCACACCTGCTGCCTCTATCCCGGTGTGATGCCAACGACCACTAGCAGAAGGATGGGCTCATGCAACAACCAGGATGAGGTGGTAAGTGAGAGAGGACCTCTGGCTCCTTCTGTTTATAGTCTTTATAACACCAAACCATAGTCAGAACAGTCTGGACCTTGGGAACCTTTCATCACATAACCAGTGCTGCTGCCATCTCTGCAAGGACAGGAGGTGCTGCATTAGCCATCTGCAGGACATTGAAATCTGCTCTGCTACAAGTTAGCTGCCAAACAGTTCCCAAACCTTCTGTTTTGATTCTTTTCTGCATCTCAGTGTCTAACACTGTAGAAGGTATTTATAGGGAGTAATCTAGTCATGCTGTAACATTTGTTTCACTCTTACATTGAAGAGAATTTAAATATGAACCTTTTGATGTGTCCTAATTAAATGGGGAACATGATATTTTGTCATTAGCTAAATAGGCTAAACTCTCACTCATTCTTCTAATTAAAATATATTCAATTGTGCAGGCTGATAATACCAGTTGAGATAAACTCTTTTAATTCATGGAAGTTTGTAAAAATGAAACTAAGAGACAAAAGCATTTGTTGCAAATTATGTTCAAGCTTTATGATAATGTACTTTGGGGAAAAGATGAATAATTTCTAGGGAGTAATGCTAATGCTTTGAGATTACCATAATCTTGTCTAAGACATTATCCAAAAGTAGCAAGTGCAGCTGTTTTGTAGGGAGCTTCAAAGAGTGTCAAGAGTTTGTAGTTCTCTCACAATTCATCTTCCCAGGGAAAGTTTCTTGTTATTAATGGTCAATTTTCTACTCCTATACCATTAATGAGTATATACTGCTGTATATGGGTTTTTGGTAGTTTCTTCAGAGCTGCTTATGCTAGAGCAAAGCCAGCATAATGCTGCTGTGCTTGATTTTACACTGCTTTTAGTCTCTGGTGTAAATGATAGCCCAAGATATTCATATGGAAAATCAGGTGCCTTTTCAGGAAAAACATTTGCTCTTCCAGCTCTAGACTATCTTGTTCTTTTTTTCTGACTTCCTGAGCATTACTAAATGCTGCCAAGCTCTTGTCCTTCAAGATCTCTTGTAGTAATGAGACCTCATTATAGCTTAAAGCAGTCCTCTGCTATTCACTGTCTTTGAGAGGCATTACAATCCATCCCCTTCTGACAGAAGCACTGGGAACAACTCAAAAATGGGTTATGTTCTGACTAAGCATCACTGAAATGTTTGCTGCCTTTCAGGATTCACGGGAGACAGAACAGTGGAGGTGAAGCCATCAAAATGTGATCTTTGTCGAGGGTCAAGCTTGAACCTTTAGTCAAGTTTTGAATGCATTTATGTGGCCATCTGAAAACACATAAATAGAGTGTTCTTACTGCCAGCAGGCTGACTCCTTAGTATATCCTAAAATAGGCATTGAAATCTTTTGTAGTGCTCTTCCAATCTCTATTTTGCAGCTTAACCTGAGCTGTTGATCCTGAAATGGAGGTCTCAATAAAGCTCTGTCATTTATAGCTCATTTGGATATCCAAACACCTGATGCCTCAGCAGTAGTGCCTCTTGAGGAGTATCTCCTGTGCAGTTTTCAAGTGGACAGCAAAACATGGCTGTTAGAGCTTTGCACAGGTAAGCAAAGAAATCCTGTGATGCTGGAGAGGAGGGGGTATATGCCTGTGTTGTGATGGACATCAGTAACATACAGTACAGCAGTGCCATCCCCCATCTGAACTCTGGGCACACCAGACAGAGAAAATGCAGACCCCAGAGACACTTGGGCACAGGCCCCAAAGGGCACAGAGAGAGTACAGGGGAAGATGGATTGACATTTAAGTCACTAAATTCCACATTTGTTAGCTCACATTTGCTAATAAATGTTTTTCAGTAATTCCTTGTAGACGGGAGAGCCTCAGAGCTAGTTAGACTTTGAAAGGGCTGGAAGCTATTTCAAGTGCAAGAGCAGTCATGTTCTGTAGCTAGCTGGGAGAGAAACAGATGAGTGGGGCACCAAAATGAGAAATACCAGAGTTCCTTCTCCATCCTCATGCTCTCCTCATGCAGTTCAGGCTGGGTGAGAAATGTTGCTGAACTGGAGGCTGGGTGGTTAATTTTCATTTGGAATTGCAGCAGCATCTGATGGGGGAAGAGGGTGAACGTGGGCCACAGCCACACTGACACAGAGCAGGAGTCACCTGCTTGTGCTGTGGTCTGGGTTACCACCACTGTTACTCCTCAACTAGAGCTCGCCTACAGCGCATAAATGAGTGCTTGGCAAAAGAACCACTTGCAATTTCTGTTCTTACTACAAAGAATGTTCCTGAAATTAAGCTGGAGACATCCAGCTCTTCTGAGGTGAAAGTACCTCTGAACAGATAATCAAGATCTGAGACCTCAGGAGAGAGGAGTTATGTAGAAACATGTCCAGAAGTTTCTCAAAGATTGCATTTCTGTCCTGTGGAATCTAAACTTAGCACAATAGCTCTGGTTTATATATTAATGCAAGCCTAGGCATCCTTAACTAAAAGCTGTTGGTTTTTTTTTTTTAATCAACTGCAGGAAAACCAACCTTAACAAACTCTGTTCACTCTCTGCCACCAAGAAAAGTCCATCAACAATAATTGTTGTGTTTTTAGTTTTCAAAGAACCCATAGTTAAATTTTATTGTTTCAGAAGTGCTTAGAATTAATTACTTACATGATGACTTCCATGATTAATTACTTCTGTGGTGGACTTCCGTAATGAGCTCTGGTGCTCATTATCTGCTTCAAAATGGGAGTGGCTTTTTGGCAGAATTCCTTTGTTTACCACAATTCCTTTCTGTTACATTCCTTCCCAGAGGAAGTCCATCGCAAAGGCTGTTCACTCTAAGAAATTACTGAAAAGTGACAGGTGTTGATTTAATATATCATCTTCAGCAGAATAGGATGAACTCAACAGAATGGCTTCTCCCGGTGTTAAAACAGAAATGTTGTGAAGGTAGAGAAAGCCCCTTCCACACTGGATAGATTTTCAAACACATGCATTAAGGCTGAGTGCTGAATATAATTTTTTTAAAAATTGTTTTCTAGTCCCCTGTGTAGAGGGGAGGAGGTGTTACAGATTCACTCAAGTATTATAAGAAATAATGGTAGTTGTCTTTACGTGCTGTTACACTGGTTGAAGATACTTTCCTTACCAATTTGCTTGGCTTGAGTGTGACTTTCCAGTTGTTAGAGCTGTGACTTACATTAAGCTTGGTTTGGACACTGGGTGGCACTCGGAAGTCCTACAGACTTCCTAAAGAGCCAGAGTACCCATTGTTGGAGACCAGCCACATCTCATTCTCTGTCTATAGACATCTCTTGCTGGTTGAGATCTGCCCAAGAAAAAGCCCTGGCTTTGGACCTACGGTATCATACCCCACTTTAACAGTTGTGTTCTCCAAGGGCCTTTCTTGCTATCATAACAACTTCCAAAAGCTGCATGCTGTGCTCAGCAGCAGTGCTCCTGGGTCTCAACTGAAGAGCAGGGCTTGATGCTTCATGATGTGTGCCTGAAACAAATCCTGCAGCCCTTCCATGCCATGCACAGTGGAGGTGTTTAGCCTTTCATCTCTGCTGTTAACCCATAGCAATGGGCAGCTCTGTAAAATCCACTTATGCAGAGAACCTAATCCAAACCCGCCCGATTACTCGTGTGTTGTAGGGAACATGTCCCGAGGTGCAACAGGTAGGCACCGAAGCTAGGGGACATGCGCAGAGCCAGACCCTCCTATTGGTTAAGAGTCATGTGGGATCAAGGTATAAAAAGGCGCGCGTTGTTTGAAGAAACCTCTTTGTTTACCACCTCACAGAGAGCGTGCCATGATTTCTTTATTATATAAAGGCAGCGTCCACGTGGACGCTACATATGGCACCCCAGATGGGACCGAATCTACATTAGATCAGATATTTAAAACCTGTACCAGGTATTACCGGTAGGTCTCCGGTTATCACTTTAGTTTTATAAAGTGGGAGTCCTTTTACCGAAAGAAACCCAGACGTCTGTAAACGTTGCCTTGGGGGAGACCAAGGAACAAAGTTTAGTGAGCTCAAAAAAGATAGGTTAGTGCACAGAAACAGGAAGAAAGAAGAAAAAGAAACCTAACGGCGGGCAGCGGACACCGGAGTCGGGGACCAGCAGACGGGAGCGGACAGCGAAACAGCGAAGCTGAGTGAGTTATTAGCTTGCAGCCCCCAGCCCCCGCCAAAGGGGGCTCGGAGCTGCGGTGCTTTATCTCGCGAGCTGCTTCTGGGAACTCTGCGGCTAAAAGCAGTGGAGACCCAGGCAGTAGCAGCTGAGCCGCCCCGTGCCGCCACCCCGGAGCCCCGGGGACCCCAGGACCACGTCTGCCGCCCCGCCGCCCCACCCCTCTCCCCCGCGCGCGTCTCTCAAGACTGCCGCCAGCTGCGGGACCGGCGCCTGGTGCCTGCCGACCCGGCAAAAAGCCCCAGTTGCAGCTGCCAGGGAAGCAACAGCACCACGCACGTGCGCTGGCCGCCCTGCCCGCCACCGCAGGGACCTATAACGGTCACGCCGGCTCTACCCGGCGAACCGAGCCAGCGCCGCTCACCACCGCCCACGCCGCCCGCCTCCCCTGCAAGCATTCGCTGCCCCTTTCTCTGGCCCCGCCCCCCGCCCACAAGCCGTGCGGGACAGGGGAAGCTACACCGAACGCCCGGAGCCCCCAGACCCACCTCGCCTAGCGAGCCCCCGCAACCACCTTCTGCCGACCCACGCATGCCTGTAGCCACTGCGTGAAGCCTCAGCGTAGAGGAAAAACCCCCCTGCGGCGCCCAGTGAACCGCGGGACACCCGGAGCCGCTCCCCACCGACCCCCGGCCGTCTGTAAGGACTGCGCCGACCCTTAAAATCGGTAAAAACCGCCGAAAGCCGCCGCGAACCCACAGAGAACCTGTTGCCGCTTTTGCCGCCGCTTCCCCGCCGCCGCGCCAGCCGCCGCGGAGAGGAGAAGGACCCCGCGCCGCAGCGCCGCGAGAAGCCTTGCTGCCGAACCGCCGCCGCAGCCGATAGCAGCCCCGCGCCACGAGATGACCCTGCGTCAGCCGCGTGCTGCCGCTGTTTGCAGCCACCGCCACTGAGCCGGGAAACCAGCCGACCAGAACCAGCAGCCAGCAACTACACAGAACTTCTACCCGCGCGCATCCAAACCGCCGCGAAAAGGTAAACTGAAGAACTTTTTCCTCATCGCAATTTCAAAAGACACAGATTCACCACACACAGCCCACGAAAGGACAACACAAGAGCATAACACCCATAAGCACCTCCCCAATAATACTGCTCGCAGTACCCGCCCAACTTTTAGGCGTAGGGACACAAACGCCCGAAGTCTGGCAGGGGGGGAATGGGAGATGTTCGTGAATTGAGCACTGAGTCAGAAGCCCAGAGCCAAAGGCACACGGGCCGTTGGGAGGGGACGGAGCCTGAGATGCGAGATCCCCACTCATGGGACCATCGCAGAGGGCTCCGTCACGGCGACCGGGGGGGCAAGCCAGCAGAATCGCCTCCCCGTCCCGCGAATGACTGCCGGCCACATGGTACCTCATGGGCGCCGCCATCTTGCCCATTAAATGGCCCGGGTGCTGAACTGTCTCCTCCGGTCCCTGAGCCGCCCCGCCCCACCCATAGGCGCGAGGGGGGAGGTAGCTCCGCCCCCTCGCCGCCTCCGACACCCGCCCACACCCCCCACCGGGAACCGAGGCTACCGCAGCCACGGGGAGGGGGGGAAGGGGGGAGGAGGAGGAGGGACTACCAGTAGTTCCGTCGGGAAGGAGCAAGGAGGCAAATGGGGCAAAGTCGGATAACAGGTGGGAACAAAACAGGGGTAAGGCGATTCGACTGGGTGGCCTGAAGGATAATCGGGCATACTCAAATGAATTTAGCCAAAGCCACACCCCTCAGCCTGAGCTCCTACACGGAGCTATTCAGAGGCTGAGGCATTTGGTAAGAGATAGTGGCATATCCCTAAATAATGCCTCCGGGTATCCGAAGGCATTGAATTCCATCCATTTTTCCACCTCACATGACACAGAACATGTGCACTGCTTATCTGACTTTCGGGAGAATGGTGCCAATAACACAGCAAACACCCCAACTGGTATAACAGTAAATCCATTGACTGGAGAAGGGAGACACAGCACAGCAGGTGCCCAATTGAATCACTCCCGAGAAAAATACAAAGTAACAATCAAACAGGCGCTGAGAGCCATGAGAAGGCTTCTCACCACAGACAAAAACAGCAACCTGCCCAGCACAAGAGTGTTACAAAGTTGTGCTGAACCAAACTCACAACATTTAAATCGGCTGCGGACTGCTTTGCACAGGCAAATTGAATACAGTGAGGCCAGAGAGATGCTGTATAAGCAGTTGGCTTCTGATAAGGTGAGCACAAGCTGTGAAAAGGCTTTGCAAACCCTCTCTGGAGGGGTTGAACACAGCACCGCTGAGCTGGTTCAACCTTACCAAGGAATTGGCTCTGAGGAGCACCGGTCTGTCTCTCTAGCTGCGGCCCTAGAAGCCCAGCTAGGAATACGAAAAGAGGCCAGACTCAGAGCAAGTGGTGTCAGGTGCAGTAGCACTGACCACTTCCAAGGAAATTATATCTGGAGACCCCTTTGCAGCAATGCCCCAAAGTATTCTAATGGCAAGGAATGGGCTGAGTTACACCCAGGGTGCCGAGGGCGAAACAAGTGCGTTGCTGCCAGCATCGTCCTGCTTGTTGCCGTCCTGCTTGCTGCCTTCTGTGCCACAGGCCTTCATGTGCCAGAGAGGAAGCAGCTCGAAGCAAGCCCCAAAGTGACAACAAACAGCCCAGACAATGCCCTTATATACTGCACACCCAAGAAAGGTGACAGATGGAGAATGCTGCCAGACACCAGAGCAGTAAGCGCAGTCATAAAGCATGTAGGAGCACAGCAGCAAGGACTGCCTTTACCCAATGTGCTCCCAACGAGTTGGCCGCTATTGGTAACTGATTTAAAGACTTGTTCCTCTACCACCTTCCTACACCCTGAGGATGTTCCAAGGCTTGCCTGTCCCATCATGGCCTTGTGCATGGCCCGTGCAAGTATATTGCTGGGCTGTCTGTCCTCAGGGGATGCAAATAGCCAAGCAAGATCTCGGACAACCAGGATACACCCTTATACAGGTAGCATACCAATGAGCATGGCCACCGGAAATGAACTGCCATTTACTCTTGCTGCTCTAATCCAAAATGTCCAAGGCAGGGTTACAGCTTGCAGCAGAAGAAATTCAGCAATCGTTACCCTGGACTTTCCTTAGACAAGAATTCACACAGCAAAAAGATTCTCCACAACTGCTGCAGCTCAAGGTAAAAAACACTTTATATTTACATGAGTTGCAAAGCTTCAAGGGGCCACAAACCGGTTAAGGCCTATTTTAGGCATGACCACAGAGGAGCTACACCCTCTGCTTCAGCTGCCAAAGGGAGACTCCAGTCCAATGTCTAACAGGCTACTGATACCGGAAGCCAAAAGAGTGTTAGACATTTGTACCAAGGCAATAGAGAGAGGGATAGGCAGAGGGAGAAATCCTGAACTACAAATATGCCTAACCCTCATTCCCAGCAGGTATCAACTATTAGCAGCCTTGTTACCGTGGGATCAGACTGAAAAAGACCCACTGCAACTTCTAAAGTGGCTAGTTTTGCCCCATGTACCATCTAACACTGTGTGGACTGTTAATGAGATGTAGGGAAAGCTTGTCATTCAAGGCAGAGAAAGACTGCAAAACTGGAAGGAGGGGACCCTGCCTTCACCACCATCGACTTGCCAGCTACGAAGGACAATTTGGATAGGATGCCAGCTGAGGACGCAAGGTTCCGAGCTGCCTTAGCAAGCTTTCATGGTAAAACTTTAATGCATCTCTCAAAACACAGGTTGTGGGCAAAGATTACTAATCTACCTTCCAAAGCCACGACCAGATGCAAACACGGACCAGTGAAAGGCTCCAGGGCCTTCACACCTGCATCTGGAAACAGCATAAAAGGCTGTAATAACTCAGGTAATATCCTGCTACAAAACAAGGGAAGGACAGACGCAGACCACGAACCACAGCTGTGCAGGTTCTGGAAATGACCTTGTCTGTATTGTCTTGGGAAAGTTTATTAAGCGATCTTTGAATGTTATAACTGATTTCTGTTATGTTGCAAGTTGATGCCCCATCTTGAAGGTTTGTTTGTTTGAGATGTCCTAGTATTTACTTGTTAATTGAAATGCGTTCTGTTTGGCTTCTTGTGAATTACAGAAGGTTTGAATTTTCATACATATGCATACAAAGTAATACAATGACAGGTAAGGGCCAACAACTGATAAAGAACTTAGTGACTGACAAATTAACAACATTTCACATCATATCTAAGGTCTTGAAGCAAGCGAAATTGTCTAGTTCATTTTTCCATCAGAACGCAAGATCCTTAAACAGACAATTCAAATAACATTCAATTAGCTCAAGACTTCATCATGTCACGCCCAAACTGTCAAAAAATCACAACAATGCCATCTCAGAATGCATTAACCCCACATGGTTAATTGCAAATGAGATTAAGCAAACACATATCACACACATCTCTGAAATGGCCATATTATAATATGTACATGTAACAGTAGGTATATACCAGCACCACGTAACCTACACAACACCCACTGCAGAAAAGGCCAAAAGTGTGAGACACTTTGGCTTAGTTGCCCAGCAACTATTGGTCCATAATATTCACATTAAGGCAGCTATATCTCCTATCAAATAGGAAAATTCTTATGTCACAAGTGTTCCACACTCACTCATTACACAGGTAATTACACAAAGAGCACACAACACAACAAAACAGTGTCAACTAAACAAAAAAGGGGGGAGAGAATCTGTATAGCTAAAAGAATATCTGTGAAAAACCATGTATTAATTTTCAAACTGTGACAAGCTGGAAACATGTGAGTAAGAAAGGTAATACAAACCCCAGGCTAGTGTACCTCTCCCAAAACATCGGTCATGGTAAAGGATTTGGTATCTGGGCAGTGGACGGAACCACTAAATCTGATTTGGGATAGAGGCTACGCTGGTGAGTCTGAAGAAAAGAGTTAAAATGAACCCCTTCCAGGTCTGTTGCACCCCACAAGGTACAAAATCACATCAGCAAGAACCAGAATGACGCAGAAGTTATAAGAAGGTTATGTTTATGTTTAAGATTTACTTTAAGGACGACCAGTGTGGGAAAAAACAGTTTATAAAAACCCATGAATGTGTGTGTATGATGCGTGAGATGATGGCCATCAAAGCGAATGAGAGTATGAATGGACAAGCGTGTTATATGTCTGGACAAATATTGGAACACTAAAACACCTCACAAATAACAATACCTCCGCCACAGGGTCATTTAAGAAAATTTAGTTCTGCTAAGCTTAGCCTGTTTCTTAATAAAGTTGTACTCCCCAGTTATTTAAAACCCTCAGGTTAATAAAGCTTATAAGTTTGCATGGTTAGGCCAAGGCCTATAGATTAATAAAGTTAATTCTCCAAGTTGCACTACCCTATAGGAATATAAGAAAGTTTTAAAAGGTTCACAATAGGACTATAAGAGGCCAAGGCAAGCAGTATGCTGGATCATTGCAAGCCTTGGTAGTTTATAATGTACTGTTCTGATTGTTTGCGCTGTTGCCTTTGTAATGTTCTCGTGACCTTCTTATACAATTAGGAGGGGGGAGATGTAGGGAACATGTCCCGAGGTGCAACGGGTAGGCACCGAAGCTAGGGGACATGCGCAGAGCCAGACCCTCCTACTGGTTAAGAGTCACGTGGGATCAAGGTATAAAAAGGCGCGCGTTGTTTGAATAAACCTCTTTGTTTACCACCTCACAGAGAGCGTGCCATGATTTCTTTATTATATAAAGGCAGCATCCACGTGGACGCTACAGTGTGTAGTTGTCCACTGGTGAGAGGATGACTTAAAGGATGCCAGAGTCCTTCAAAGGCACTGTGTAAAGCATCTGGTGAATGGGATTGCATAAGAACTGTATAAAATAGTGCTAAATACAGTGTGACTTCAGTCTTAGGCTTTATTTTTAGAGGGTTAGAGTGCTTCAGAGGATGTATTTATAATAAGGAGATGTTTTATCTCAATGCAGGATGTTGCTCTTGCAGAAAAAATATGATACAATTTTCATACACTTGTCATGATATAAATTATATAGAGTAATGGACACTTCATTACAAACCTTGAGAGTTAGCAGACAAAGGCTTCCTCCCTCTGAATTGTGATAACTTCTGGAATTGAATGGATTTAATTTAATTATCTGTCCCATGGAAAGTTGTCACTGTCTATTCAGCTTCGGGACATAACAGAAGGTAGGAATCATTTGCCCTGTAGAAATGGAAGATTTACAGTGTAAGAAGTTTAGTCACAGATTATTTATGTGACAAGTCTCCAGTCCAGCTGAATTAATTTACATATGTGAAATTATTAATAAAATGGGTTTTATTAAAATGTGTTAATGGCACCAGGAATGCCCTCAGTTGCTCAGTTCAACAGCTTTATAGGCGCTTGGATAAGGAAGAGCCTTAGGAAGGTGAAGAGGTTTTGCTTTGCAGTGAATCTTGAAAGCTTGTATGGTGGAATCTGTATTTACAGCATTTTGTAATTAGGAGCACCACATATCAGTGTGATCCAAGCTGGAGAGGATGATAACCTGTAGCTCCTCCTCTAGGACTCATGTTACACTCCTCTGAAAGGCAGCATTTGGGGGAAGCTGGACAGCCAGCTCACCTGGACTGTCTGACCAGAGCTGCTGCTCAGTGGTTTTCTCACATGGCCCATAAGCACATGGCTCACTTTACACCCTAAGGAAGGATTATTTCTCTTTTTCAGGTATGTGAATTGTGCCTCCAACAGTGCTTCACCTTCCCTGCAAACCTTGCTCGGTGCTAAGGACTGCTGGCATTATCCAAAGGAGTGATGTGCTGTTCAGAGTCTGTACACCCAGCAGTAAGTGTCCCCTGGTTTGAGTGGCAGTACAAGGACTAATCTTTTGGATGACTTAGCTGCCTTAAGCAGGTCAATGGTCTAAATTAGTACCTGGAGTCAAAGGGATTTTTGTTACTGTCGATAAGGATCCCAGACTGAAGCTGCTGTGTTTTTTGCTGGCTGGTTCCCAGTGCCCTGGGCACATCTCTCCAGGCTGCAGTGCTGGCTTGCCACACTGGGAAGTTGATAGGGAAAAGTATTTGCACAGAGAAACTTTATTCCTTTCCATGGTTTTATTTAAGTGTTTCTTTTTGTAAGCAAAGTGAGTAAAGAGGGAAAATAATTTTAGTCATCTTTTCAGGATTATTTTTGTTTATACTTGTGTTAAAAAACATAAAGAAAGAAGCTCCTAAAACCAGACTTGTCACAGTAAAGTGGGTAGTGAATAGTGCCACTTTGGTAAATGTTACCATTATTTTTTTCAATAAATTACCAATTTATACTTCTGAATGTGACAATAAAAAAAAGGGATAAAAGGACAGAAAGAGGAGGAAAACTTGGGAGGTTTATGTTTACTGCCAAGCATTTGGTTTTATGTTTACCTCATGGAGAGTAACTCCATATGTCATGATAATTGACTTCACCAAGTACCTTTATAAAAACAGACTTTGCTATGAAATAGCATCTTGTTCTAAAGATGCCTATGCATGGGTTTTCATTAAGGGAAATCACTTTCCTTTGAATCACTAGTTTAAGCTTTTTATTATGTTCCTATTTTGTGGCTCAGCCCAGTCAGTGGCTGAGAACAAACACGATCATGGCACAAATAAAACCAAAATATTTAGAGTTCGCTTAGTCCAGAATAATTTATTCCTCAGAACTTTATGGAATGAAGGCTTCCCCAATGCTACTTACTTCCAGATATTTGCTTGTTACCATTTTAACTACAGTGATTCACAGGCAGCTCTTCCACAAACCTGACCAGGGTTTTAGATCCACCAGACTTCTGAGGGGCCACTGGATTTTTCCTTGGCATTCTGGGACAGGAAACAAGGACTGTCAAGCAGCTGAGCTCCTAAATTTTTCCATCGTTTAACATGACAAAAGCAAGTTTCAGTGCTGATCTATTTTGGAAACAACATTTGTGGCAGTTCCTCTCTGAGTCAGACAGAAAGCAGAGGATGGGATTGTGGTAGGCAATAAAAATCCCTGGTGTTCCTATAAGGACTTCAATTCTCACCTCATTACAGGTGAGACCAGGGGAGACTGGCAGCAATGCCAGCTCCAGCACAGCTGAAAAGGATTTGTTTTTCTCAGTGATGAGTGGAAAAGGCTGTAAAAATACTGTACAAGGTTGGCTAATAAACTGTACTTTATTAGCCATTCTTATTATGAGTGTTTACAATCTTTCTGGAATTACAAAATAAAGGGTAGAAAGCCAGAAAGCTGGAAAACACAGTGTATGCATATGTCAGGTCCAGATTTATAGCCGAGTAGCGAGTAGCTGGCTTGGCAGCAGGTACTCTGAATTGTGACAGCGCTGGCCTCACTGAGTCCTTTGTGGCTTGTTCAAAGCAGATTGATAGTGCTGATTTGTGGATGTTTCCACGGGTCTCCTTGGAACATCTCAGGCCGTTGAGGTACGAAAGCAGACCCGTCAGAAAACAGCATCCCCTTCTCCTTCCCCTTGCTTCCCCTCGTGTCTGTGGTAGGCGTAGGGAAAGAACAGAAAGGCTTGGACAACCTCCCCGTCCCCTCTCACAGAACAAGCCCCTTGCAAAGTCAAGGCTGAAACTTGGGGTGTTTGAGTCCCATTCTAACAGCCCCAAGCTCTTCCATGGTTTTCTCTGTGTGGAGTTATGGTGCAATTTCCTGCTCTGAAAGTGCCATCTTCCAGGTTGGAGCTGTTTTCTAGCATGCTTCCAGTAATAATGCTGCACTTCCTAGGAATGCTGCTTAGTTACTTGTAAAAGTAATGACAAGCTAGTGGGAAATTGGGTTTAACCTGAGAAGAGTCCCTGAGAAAACAACTTTGTGCTTATTGTCTCTGGCTCTCTGTTTGTTGCTGTTCAGTCACACAATCAAAAATGTGCTCTGCTTACAAGCAGAGAGGTTTTACTGACTATTTTTTTCAATGTGTTTCCTTTTTGCCCTCCTCCTTCACTGGCAATCCTGCAAATCCAACCTGGATTGCCAGGGTCATACCGGTTTCTTTACTTTTTATGCCTTATCTCCATTAATAATTGTTCTGCAAGCAAGCCTCATCCTTGTGAGCCTGCTGTGGGCTCTGGTGTGCCCTGGGGCATCTGCATGGTGCCTTAGCTGTGGTGGCCCTGTGGTCCTGACAGCTAAACAGGGAGAGGGGCTGTGGGAAGCATGTAGCATTCAGAGCAGTAGTCACCCAGGACCAGATTTCTTAGGAAATTAAATACATAAAGATGCAGATTGGGGGCAGTTTTGTAGCTGCATGTTTTTGTAAATCATACTTTGTACCAATGGCCATTTCAGGGGTCTTGTTCAGACTCAAACCTTGCGGGTCATCTCAGTCCCTCCCTGACCAGAGGAAAAAGCAGGTATGCCCTATTTTATTGGAGTGCTGTATGAATAAATCTGTGAATATCCATGATGGGGATGGAGTTTCTGACTTGAGGCCTCAATCCTCTTGGGAGACTTTCCATTAATTTCTTTGGGGTTATGGAGATCCTAGAGGATTATTTCCTCAGATATTTAAGGATCAAATAGATTTGTAGCTTATCTTCTTCTCTGCATTCCTCAGAAATCAGTTGAGCACTCATTTCCTAATGAACAATTCATGTGCTTCTCTCTTCAGTTCAGGGAGTGGAGTGTTCATTTGTCCAGCTGAACAGAGAAGAAAAATAACAATCAGGGAAATTAGGGTTAGGTCTGTCAGTCTGTAAGTACTGTAAAGCTTGAAGTTAGGAACAAATTGGTCTTGCCTGTTTGATGAGCATGATGAAGATAGTGGCCACATGTATCAACACCTGATCACGATGAAGGAATAAGACACACAAATACAGCTCCATCTCCTTCCATATGCTGTGTGTAATATCACAGGTGGGCAATATCATGTGGGAAGGGGACATATGGCTAGGGATCTGTGAGGAAGAGGTTTCTCAGACCTTATATGTGAGGCTTAAATTTAAAAGCAGGAAAAGACAGAGACTAAACCTCCAGAAGATGTATTCCTTTGGTGCAGAAGTGGAAGTTCTGTAGTCACTGAGCCAGTGTCAGGTAAATCCTCTGCAAAGGATGCTGTCCTGCCTCTGATGGTTCTCAGCACTCTTGCCAACAAAGAATCGTTCTTCAATACTAATTCTAATACTAATCTGGTTCTGCCAGGAATTGCAGACCCACTTTTCTGTCTGATTATATAGAGGGCTCATGGGAGCTTTCTTATGCCTACTTTCATGGACTCGGGGATTAGACTTCCACAGTGGCATTCATCCTGCCTAATTTTTGCTGTCTAGAACTTACACATCTTGTGGACAGAAAGAAACTCTTCCATATCTTGCTTATCTGAAATGTCTGTCTTGGGAGGATACAAATCTCTTTATAAGGGCCTGCCTCTATTCTGATGTTACAGACTTATTCAGAGTAGAGGATGAAGCCTGTGAACATCTCCATGAGATATTCATGAGTGAGCATAAAGTGTAGCTAAAACACAGTGTAACATAATGCCATTATGAAAAAAGAAACCTAAGATCTTATATAATATAGTGGGCTTTGAGTAGGCTGTTACCGAAGAAGAAAGAGATGAGAGCTGCAATGGAAAGTCTCAAGAAAATTTCAGGCCAATGCTTAGCAGAAACCCCAAAATAGTGGTGGGATTGGAAGAACAGTAGGGGACATCTCTCAGTGCTGTATAAATCCATGGATGGCCCACACCTTGAATCCCTTAGCTCTTTCTGTTTCTACATCTGATAAAGCATATAGCAGAGTGGAAAGAGGCTCAGGAAAAGGCAACAAGGCTGATCAAGAGTTAGTTTTCATATGAGGAATGAGTTGGAAAGCACTGTAAAAACCTGTATGGGAAAGAGAGAAGGAGCATCAATGAGACAGTAACCACAAGTTCATGCATATTCAAGGGGACTTGGAACATGTTCATGAAACAGAAATCCACTACATTATAAATACACAACTGTCATGCAGTGCTGGAATGTGATGAGCTGAAAACATCTGGAGGTGCAGCCATTTTATGTTCTTACATTAGTTACAAATTATTGCAAAAACTCTACAGGAACTCATTATTTCTCTTGATAAGGTTGTGCTCTGGTATGAGGAACACATGCCTGTGGTGGTTTGGTGCTATAAAGTTCATGAATGTAGTAGCAGGAACCCGGGTATGATCCACTGAGCTAATTGAGATCCTTAGAGAATTCTCCCTGTGAAATCTTAAACCTGTCAAGCTACATTAAGCTCCTCTGGTAGACCAGGATTTTTATGTCCCAGTCTATGCCTACACATTTGCAAAGATCATGCTAAAAATTATCATGCCTTGTTTTAGGAAGTGTTATCTCAGAGAAAAATGCTGCTCTTGGTTCTATGCTGGGGAATGTGCAGTGAAGGCGGGTATCAAAGGTAAAACCTCCTATGTCTTATCTTTTTGTAATTCACACAGTCTTTTTCAGCAAGATATGAAAGAGGGATTGAGGGGATTGGACTGTGGCTGATCCAGAGCTTTGTGGCTGCAAGTGTAGAAGGGATATTGAGAGAGCGAGTCTCGGGACTGTCAGAAGTCATTATAAAGATGTCACAATTGACATTGGATTAATTGGACTGACTCCTTCTTTCAGCTGTGTATGACCTCCTTGATAGCAAAAGTGTGAGGACAGGACTTTGCCTCTGTGAAAAGGTTCATGCCAGAGGGCAGGGGATGTAAATATTGGGTTTGCAGACAGTCTAAACCAGGTCTGAACCTGGCTCATGAGGTTTGTTTAGACAAGGCTTGGGACTGCTGAGAAATTTTGAAACTGATGTTTTGATTCAATTTGAAATCACTC